TGGAACTCACACAATTATTTAACACAAACATATGTACAATCACTACATCAAATGTTGTAGATTCTGGCACGACAAACTACCCTTGAAGAACTGTAGGACTTACAGCAGTACGCCTACATTCCTTCTCAGGTTGATGATCCAAGTGGAAGTCGTCCGGACACAAACAGAATTACCAACAGCTAGCTGACAGATGATATCAATTCAGTATATACAATATGAACATATATACAAAATCACACACCAAGCACATTGGACTGCTCACTGATGCGCCACCCTTTGAAGAATTGTAGGACTTACAGCAGTACGCCTACAACCCTTCTCAGGTTGACGCCCTTGGTTGGAAAATCGTCGCAGAGTTCATTTGCTGACTTCCTTCTATGAGCTAAATCCTCAAATCTGAACGGTAACACGCCCATGTCATTGTATCGTAGAATATAGATGACCAACAAACACACGACATATCTCATCAACCAAGTGTAGGCACAGAGTAATTTACACCAAAGATAATAACATTCAATTAGTAACTTGAAACTAGAAATGCCTTTATTCATGCAAGTCAATTTAACAATTAGCCTCTCATACATAGTTGGCTTATCCTCCCCGAACTGACCATTGACTTTCGTCTTCTCAAACGGATCTATACTAGCATAGTTATAGCATAAGACACGTGAGTTCATGGACATCCCTTTCATTGTGGATGACAACACCAACGACGACTGAGTGACACAAGTTGATGAACTTAGCAGTGGATCAGAAGCTGTTCTTGTACGGCTTTCAGAAATTTGTCTAACTGCAAGACCACCACCACTGCCGTCATTTACTATCAGCTGATGTTTAGCACTAGCATCTGATGATAGGTGGGCTACACTGTGATCACTTTCACTGAGGGTCTCACGAATATCCATACCTTCCGCAACTGCATCTGATTTAAGTCTACTTCACGTTCTAGCTGTACAGAACCTTTGTTCAACTCAGCAGTGGTAGGCATATCCCTCATCTCATCATGATCAACCATAAAGAAAATTGTACTATCATGATCATTATCACAAATATTCACTTTACCGTCGTCTATCTGGTCGACTTCATCATTTTCAAACTCTTTAATTACAGCAGTAGATGATTTGGGTTCTTTCTCATGAATCCCCAAGGGTTTTATACCTCCACTCTGACTAATAATACCTTGTAAAATTGTGGAGTCAGAACTAGACTCTGACACTGTAACTCTCTTCTTTTGTACAAACTGCGGTGTCATCTGTGGCACTCTATTCATCAATGGCTAACCAGTTGCAACTACAGGCTTCTTGACCGCACCATTGTCGTCACACAATTCGGAGTCAGACCTTCATTTCACAGTTAGCTTACCACTAAACTTGCTCACTGATTCACAGTTCACCTTTGTATGCACTTCTTGCAAACGTGTAAAACACAACCATGTTTGTCTCGCAACTTGTAACCTATCTGTTGGTGACGTCTCACGAAGGCTGTTACACTCACTAAGTTTATCTGGATTACTAGACACCATAAAGCTTTCTCGATATCCACTTCTCTGAGACCCTTTCGTCATGAATGACTGCGTTTTGCTCTCGGACTTCCCTATTCTAGAGGTGGGATGCAATATACTGGCAAACTTGCTCACAGATTGGTTGACACTATCATTTACGTTTCAGAATATCATCAAACTTTGGCTCAATACCTTCATCCTCTATACGAGAGCTTATCTTCACTCACTTCCTTTGCAGTCGAGTAGGTAGGCGTCTTGCTATTACTTCTAGTATAAAACTCGAGTTGAGTCACTCATGCAATTCATCGAAATCAACGTATTCTTGTAAGTCACCAGATTATCCAGAAACTCAGTGAGTGCCTTGGAGTCATCTCATGATTGACTACCATTACATTTAACAGCCTCCAATACGTTCCTCACAATCATCGAATATCTTCCAAACCTGTGACGCAGGATACGCATCGCCTCAGTATATCCTTCGCTAGGGGGCATGAACTTAAAGCACTGTATAGCTGTTGAAGCAACTCCAGTGCAGTACCTCATCAAATACATCAACTTCATTTCATCATTTAATAGAAAACTACTCAACATGACTTCAAACTCTTTTACAATCTGTAAATGGTCAGCTGGGTTTCCGTCGAAACACCGTGGTTCAAATTTAGGCATATTATCCCTAGACATGAACAACAGACCTATCATGTTGAGCATCATACACATCATTACAATTAACAAGCAACTCAGCATTACTTACTTTCCTGCTTTCTTCCAAGACGCTTCGTCCCTTCTTTGACCCAGGCATCCTTGAACCTGACCGAAGTTCCGGAAAAGTTCTAGATAACACTTGTTCAAAGAAGACTTGCAGGCACCAGGAAAGACAAACAGAAATTATCCAAAACTATCAGAAACTGTCAGCCAACTCTCATAAACTGTCAACGTCCAGCTATTACTACGCTGGACCTCACGCTGTCCGTCTAAGTTTTCATAAACCTTAATATTAACCGACGAAGAAACCAAAACACTGTTTGGCGACTCAAGAATTCTCTATTCTAACGCCAATATATAACCAACAATACTGTTCTTACAGATGATTCTGATAATTTTTTCATCTTCCATCTGAATAGCAACCGATTAGACAATGACTGATGGATTGATGACGCCCGCGAAAATTATGGAGGAGTTGGGTTTGAGCAAACAACCATGAATTGATCGTTCAATCTTCAACTGCAATGACATCTTCCAGTTATTTTTTGAGGTTTTGCGTGATAAAATGTTTTGGTTTTAGAGCCTATTTAATCTCTGTATTTCTGATTTAAATAAGATTTTCAGTCTTTTAACACCAGGATTGTTCTTCATTTTGAATGACCTTTACTTATCTTTGTGGAGCTTTTTGAGCTGAGAAGAAAAGCGGTCAAATCTTAAGAAAAGTATCTTTTTTGGACAACACGCATCAAGACAGAATGTGATATAAGTTGTTACTTTTACGATTGAGCAATCTAGAGCTTGTTCTGTAAATAGACCCAAATTCTTGTAATTTAACATGTTTCTTAGATTCTGTTGATGCGTTGGTGGCAGAGCGATTAGGACGGTCGCCGACCATGCACATGGTCCGAAGTTCGATCCCCGGCCGACGCACCCCTTTACCTCGCTAAGCCAGAAATACTGCTGGTAAAGAGGAAAGGTTGGGCATGGGGTTAGCAACCGCATCCCGTAAAAATAATCACTGCTACAGAAACTTCAAGCCACTAGCTTGAGGCCCTATGTTCCACTGGGAACGTGAAGGAAAAATTATTTTATTCTTATTAAGATTCTCTATACTGTTGTGTGAGTACCATCTATGTTGAGTTTTCTTACCAAAGTTCAAAAGGGCTCTTTGTGTAGCTTTCCATATATTTTAGGCAATATACACACGATGAAATGATCAGAATGAATGATTGGGACTCTTTTCCGAGCTTCAAATATCCTAAAGTCATTTGTAAGCACTAGATCAAGAATATTTTTTTGTAATGTTGAGAAGTTAACGATAATTATTCTTGAACAGCTGCGTATATTATATTCTCTCTTCACAAGTTTAGCCCTTGTTAATTTCAGCCTGGTTAAGTATGGCTGTAAAGCCAGCTAGTACTGTACATCTGGCGCAGATCCAGAGGGATAGGTGGCCACACAACAATTAGGAGTCATTTTTAGTTGAGTCCTATCGAGAACTAGGTCGAAGTTGTCTAGGTAAAGTGACAATTCAGAGCCTTGTTGGAGAGGAAGGATACAGCATCCAGTTTTCTGTTGTCATTAGCTGTGTTTAACCGGCTTTCCAGTGCCAGAAGAAGAACCGTCAAGTAAAACTTTGTTTCTCCTCATGTGAAAGCTTACCACTCCCGAAATGTTGGACACATTCATCATGGACAATTCTCCACAGCAGTTGATTAATGATGCTAATTAGACCAAGACAATGGTACTCCATAAATCAGTGGGAAAGTTCAGTTTTGAAGACTGGACTAGTGGCGGCATCGTTCCAGTCTATTGGAAACTGCCTCAGTGAAATTTTGAGCAGCACCAACAACCATTCGGCCATGTTGTCAGCCAGCGCTGATAACATTCATTTATGGAGACCATCAGGGCCACTAGAAGTACCCACGTCGAGCTGTGAAATAAGTTTACAGTAGTTTATTTCGTAGTGTGTAGAGGTTTCTTTCCCAAATCAGTTTCCTGGACACCTACCATAGGCATACTACCATTCCTGGAAAACACTTAGCTAAAATAACTTGACAGGATGTTCGGGTATACCATCCTAGTGCGTCTTCTGGGTAATATAATCAGCAAACACCAAAGGAGTAGGGTTTTAATTATTGGTGGTTCTAGCAACCTCACTATCAGAAACACAGTCGATAACACCATTCCAATCCATATCAGCCACGGGGAGATTCATAGCAGTGAGCAGCAACACACAAACCTTGATTGACGTATGCCTCGGTGAGCAACGTGACTTACATACTCAACGCGGTGCAAGTTTTTAGTACTGCTTGCATACTACTAGACGCAATATATTAAAAGTATAATGGTACCGAACGTGGCAGTTATCATAATGGATACCTTCTTCCACAGGAAATAAGTGGTTAGGAATATCTCACTTACTGGGTGGACCTAAAATGATGAATATGAAATAAAAACAATATATTTAGCCCACAAGGCTAACGAAATCCAAGAAAATGTTGTCTTTCAACAATCAATATCAGTTCAAAGTACTGTGAAATATTATATGGGTGCAGAATACTCCTAAATTTCACCAAGAACGTGAAAGAAATTTGATTCCATTTCAAACAGTATTAGTCAGATTTTTCGCGAATATGCCAGTACTGTGTTGACACAGTGGCTAATATTCAGTTATGATCATTATTTCCGTAACAATCAGCATAGTAGTTAGCCTATAGATTGCTGCTCGTTTATGTTTTTCGAGAGTGACCTTGAAGTGCTGTTCTCATGACAAAGTCTTGCCAGTATTTTAAAAATGAGCGAACAATTCGCCTTTGTAACTGATAACCATTTTCCACCGAAAGATGTTACAAGGAAATTCTATTACAGCAAGAATCCATACGATGATGAAAATGTATGTGGTTATTTCTTTATTGGGATATATTGCAGGCTATGTTGCAAGCACTGCATAAAAAGCCCTTGTGCATTATTGTACTGGGAAAACCGTGTTCAGGAAGAACCACATTATCAAAAAAGCTGTGTTCCAAGTGGAAATTGCAACTGGTGAATGGTATAATGCATTTTAAGATTACGCTTTTTAGCATTACAACTTTTAAATGAAAATGTTGATTCTGATACGGAAATTGGCAAATCTATCAATGAAATTATGATCAGTGGTCAAGCTTTGGACGAAAAAATGGTGTATAACTTATTGACGCAAAAGCTTGAGTCCCCAGAGTGTGCGCACTATGGATATGTCTTAGATGACTTACCAATTTATTGCCAGTCTAGCATTGGGATCGAGGAACAGATGTCATTTATTGAATCCATGAATATGAAGCCCGATTTGATCGTTCATATTAAGGTCAGATTAAAAACGGAAGTACAGTGCTTTTAAATTTAGGTTTAGTCTAATATTTTGACTTATAAGTAAAATCTCACATTTCCTGCAATCCAATATTTATATATTTTTTCTTATCTTGTTCCTCGAATCTTTGCCTGCAGTAATTCTTATGTACTGTCCAAAACCAAAAATTATCGTCAGCCTTTGTAAATAGTCACTGATATCACACCACAAAAGGAAATGACGTGTAGTCTGCTTCCCAACATAAATTTCATTTATTCTAGTAAGACCGAAATGTAATGGCTTTTTAACTGAGTCTGAAATGTCATGAATTAAAGTTTAAGAGAGTGTAATTTCCACAGTAAAGTGTGGCATTTAATAGCGCTGGTTTACTAAATTGCACCACTACACCGTTTCTGCTAAAAGCTGGAAAAGCAGCAGGACCAGATGGAATCCCAGCAGAAGCATTGAAAATTGACCCAGAGACAACAGCGGAGTTGATGACGCCATTGCTGGAGAAGATGTGGAAAGAGGGCAAAGTACCTGGGTATTGGGAGAAAGGATATTTATTCAAACTGCCAAAGAAAGGAGACTTAAGTCAATGCAAAAACTGACGCGGAATTATGCTGTCCATCCCAAGCAAAATACTAAGCCACATCATCCTGAAGAGAATCAAACAAGCTCTGGATGAAACTTTCGACCGGAACAAGCTGGATTCAGAAGAAAGGAGTCATATATTGATCAAATCGTCACACTACGGATCATCATTGAACAAAGCTTGGAATGGCAGTCACCTCTCTATCTCAACTACATCGACTTTGTAAAGGCCTTTGACAGCGTCGATCGAGAGGTGATTTAGCAACTACTTCGCTACTACGGGGTGCAGTCGACAATTATACATCTCATCCAACAGTTATATGAGAATGTTGCATGCCAAGTTATCCACAACGGGAAACTTACGGAAGCCTTCGAAGTGAGGACGGGAGTGAGGCAAGGCTGTCTACTATCGCCAATGATCTTCTTGATTGCAGTAGATTGGATAATGCGACAGAGAACGGGCAATGAGGAAACAGGTATAACATGGACTCACACAAAAAACTTGGAGGATCTGGACTTCGCCCATGATGATATATGTGTGATTTCCCGCAAACTGGAATATAAGCAAGGGAAAAGCAACAAGCTGACAGAAGAAGCATCAAAGATAGGACTTCAAGTGAACATAGAGAAAACAGAGGTGATGAAGATTCCTGGCTAGCAGCAAAAGCAACAACAACAACAGACAACAATCAGCCAGCATAAATGGGAGGAACCTGAGAGAAACAACCTCCTTCACCTACCCACCCACCTGGGAAGCATCGTTTCAACTACAGGCGGGCGGAACTGACGAGGATATCAAGGCGAGGATCATCGGAAAAGCAAGACAAGCTTTCATTACTCTTAAGTCTGTGTGGAGGTCCACAACACTCACCATCAAAAATAAGATCCGGATTTTCAACTCCAATGTGAAGTAAGTCAGTGCTACTCACTATACGGATCAGAGACTTGCATTGCGCGTAATAAAGAGCATCTCAAACAAACTCCAGACCTTCATTACCAGTTGTCTTTGCTCAATACTCAAGATCAGATGGCCGGTCAGAAAAGATCAGCAACAGGGTGGGATCTAAGGCAATGAGCGAACCAACGTAGCAGGAACCGATTGTGAAACAAATAGGCGGGAAGAAATGGAGATGGATTGGCTGGCCATACTGTGAGGAAACCATCAAGTGACATCACTAGACATGTCATTGCTCGAGTGGAACCCGAAAGGGAAGCGGGTGGCGAGTTGTTCGTCAGTGCAAGGGTGACTTGAAGGAGGTCATGTGAAGAGGAGATGAAAGTGTGTAGGCAGTCTTGTAGTGGGGTGAAAAAGCTGGCAGTAAACGGAAGGCAATGGAGACGTGGGGCTGAAGCCCTATGTTCCTCTAGGTATTAAAGGATACAATAATAATAATACACCGTTGTTTTATGTGATTTAGTTAATATTTGTCATAAAAACAAAGATATTTCGGTTTGACCATCCTATCCATTGCTACTAGCTTTTATGCTCTCATCATTTCCGAACTAGGCAGAATATAAGGATACCTGAATTTTGAAGTAATTTTCTGTGAAATGTCGGCATCTAATAGTCTTGACTGTTGAAATAAGTGTTCTAGCACACTGATGTGTATGTATATGTACATGGTTAGAGAGCTGGTGTTTTATAGATTACTGTATACTGGGTAGTTTTGTTTATATTAATAGATCGAAATGTTTGTTACATAGAATTACTTACGGTGAAATGTTAATTAACCCAAGAATCTTTTGAAAAATTTATTAACTGTCGTTGCTAAAAATAATGTTTGCTATTATAAGATTTGCAGTGCTAAGGTTGCTATTACTACATTATCTATTTCAACGGTGAATTTCTTGTGAAACCAATGTCATATATACTAATCCATTAAATGATCTTATACCAGTTAGTTTATTTTTTTAATTTTGAAAATTTTTTCATTGCAAACTAAACACACCAGTGGTTTGTGTGGTGGATTTCTACTGAATCTTCAAATCCAAATGAATTCCTTCAAGTTGTATCAGACATTTGGTCTTGGTCTGGTTCCCATACACAGTTAAAATCCCAACTTGAGGAAACAAAAAGTTTATAGTTTTATCAACATATTATCATACCATGAAATATCAGTAGGTCAGGCAAAACCAGTCTCAGTTAAAAGCTTATTAGATGGATAATTATGAGATCTGATTTTCAGATCCTTCGGTGAATTTGTCTTTAAGCATCTTTTAGAAAAGCTGATACAAAGGTATGTTTGTGAATATACATGAAATTCATTTAAGAAAGTAATAAAATTGCTAATAATAAACTGCTTGAATACGAAGGAAGAATCAGTAACTACATCAAAAGTTACTCCATTGATGTTTTTAGTTTTTGGGTTTCTGTTGCTTTTTTTCAGTGGGCCGAAATTTCCGGTCCCTGTTTTTTTTAATTTTTTATTTCCTTCATGTTCCCAGTGGAACATAGGGCCTCGAGCTAGTGACTTGAAGTTTCCGTAGAAGTGTTTAATTTTACAGGATGGAGTTGCTAGCCCCATGTCCAACCTTTCCTCTTTACCAGTCTTATTACTAATTTAGCGAGGTAGAGGAGTGAGTCGGCCGGGGATCGAACCCCGGGCCATGTGCATGGTCAGCGAGCGTCTTAACCGCTGTGCCACCGACGCACTGTTTTTGATTATGAGCTGCAAAAATATGTCAGTGATACCACTGATTCCAGAAACACTATTTAACAGGTAATGATTGGTGTTCTTTGTACGAATGGCTCCTCTCATAGCTGGAATCATATTGAATAACACTTTTGAGTAATGGTTGACTAGTTCGAGTTCAGGTTGAGGTGCTGCCTCATCCTCTGTTGTGTAAACGTGTATCTGATGTGCACTGGATAAAATCAAACACACAACTTTTATACTTATGCCAGCCAGAATTCATCATATAAAATAGGATTAATCAGTGTTAACATGTGCTATGTGAAATATTATGAGCTTCTCAGAGGTCAGTTGTTACAATATGTAAATAGCATGCTTTAAATATCATCCTAGTGGTTCGAAATTACTTTAAAACCAGATATATGTATATTGTTTTAGGCTTCGCTTACTTCCTCTTCGTCTTCCATTCATGATAGTCATCGTTTCATTTCTTCACTATTCTTTAACATCAGTCCGAAGTTTTGATAAATGAATGAAAATTTTTTTAAATAACTCACTTTCGGTCTAACTTCCATAATTTATATATCTATCACCTATGCGATTTTGAAACAACTATTCAGAGTAAGAACAAAGTGTACTCACAAAAACTATTCAACCAAATTGAAGGCTGGAGATAAATTGACAGAACACTACTTTCACACATTTTATGAAATACAACAGTTTGTCTGAGTCCTTTAACTGGGATTTAGTTACCTATATTTCTTTGACCAACTATCAAAGATACGCCCATTAATACTATTAAATATTTCCGACTGAAGTTTTACTAGAATTCTTTATAATTAGTGCTATTTGTTTACTCCATCCATCCATTTCAGATACCTGAAGATGATATTTTAAAAAGACGTGAAGGATTACGAGTAGATGTTGAAGATGGAACCTTATACTCTAGTCGAAATTATATGCCTGAAGTAAAACTACCAGATGAACCAAAAGAAAAATTTGCAAATAAGGCGGAGAAAGAGAAACCATCGAAGACTGAAGATCCAAATGACGATGAAGCAGACAATACACCTGAAGAAGATGTTGAAGCTATGGAAGAAGGAGAAGACGAAGAAGATAGGCCTCGAGAACCGAGTCATCCTGATTTTGAAATCGTAGAGAAGGAAAGATTTGAATATTTAGTTTCACGACTAGAAGATATTCCAGAGCGGATGAAAGCAGACTTAAAATATCATGAAGAAAATATTTGTCCACGTGTAACTTCTTATGTATCAAAGTTTAATCCATTTAATATTATTGAATTAGATGGAAACCTCACTCCCACTGAACTATTTTACGTAAGTTTACAACAAATGTTTCCCGGTTAACCGTAAAAATTTACTTTAGTTTACCAGATTTATAGTTACATAGTACGTTAATGGTTAAAACTGAAGCAAAAATGAAGACAAAGGCAAAATATGAACTAAAGGCCTTTGAGCTACATGTCTAGTGTTTTACCTATGGGATTTGTATTTTTTACTTAGTAAGCATGTAAGTCTGTAGATTCAACCAGAAATCAATATCTTCTGACATCAAATTAGTTTGGAGGGAAGCATACAGTTGTCAGACCAATACGGTTATTCCAATCTACGATACTAATAAAGGGTGATTTGAGCTGGGTAGAAAAGCGTAAGCTACTTGTCTGAAGTCCGAAAGACGTTCAAAATTAGTCACACTTTTAAAATGCATTCACTCTCCATTATTGAAATCTGGAAGGTTTTGTTGGTTTTTTAGAATCGCTCTTTCTTTTTTCCCTACCTATTCTTGTGTGTTGTAGCAGCATTTAGTCTCAGACTACTCTTTTCTACATGATATTGAGACAAAGTATGGGGAATTTTGGATCGAACACTTCTGTGCTGGAGCCTAATTTGATCTTTCCATCTGCCATTAGATATTATTCGATTCGGATGTTATGCGTATGAAGGTCATTCCATGGCTGTGATTGTTATCAACCCTATATTTATTTTCAAGTTACAAGAAGAGTCTGATATTTCAATGGAAATAATATTAGACAACGCTTTTGACAGTTACAGAATCCTCATTCCTAAAATTTATCGAAAAGACATTTCTGTAAGCAAACTATGTTCAAAACTAGGTGATCATTAGTGATTAACTTCAATAATGTCCTCCAGAATTTAAACCAATTTGTCTGCAATAAAAATTACTCACTAATGATAGCGAAATACAGTTTTCCTTCGTTTTGAAGTGACAGAAGCTGAGAATCAGTGACAATTGGATTCCGGAGTGTTACGTAAGCTGTAGCGTTGGTGGTTCAAAGGTAGAACGCTAGCCATACACTCACATGGTCCGGGGTTTGATCCCCAGCCGATGCGGTATTTAGACCTGTGCCGGGCATGAGACTAGGAGCCCTAACCCGTAAAAATAAAACTACTGCTACCGAAAATTCACAGCTCTAGCTTGAATCCCTGTGTTCCATTAGGAATGTAAAGAAATAAAATAAACAATAGATAAATACATGAAATGTGAAATGCTTACCACCCTCCCTTTAACTTTACAGTGTCCAAACCCATCTAACACAATCTCGTAATTATATAAGTGTGGCAGAGTGATTATTAAAAATGGCTTCCGGTCAGTGAGTCCCTAGTTTGAGTCTCACTCCACTTCAGCCTGAGTGACTGAATATTACCAACAGACATCACACAATAAGTTTATCTCACAGTATGGTACATAAAAATTTAGTTTTTCACAATTGTTTCCTAACAACCTTTAGTTGTACCACTGCTGAGTGCTCAATATTGACAAAATAACTGCTCAGCGTTTATTGGTTTTTATTCACTCTGTAACTCAAACTGAATGTGATCTACATTACAACAAACTGAATCGAATGCCTGAAAAGTTATCAAGAGAGCAATACAAAGATAGAAATTTACATTTATATGCTTCATACAATTATAGACTTACACAGTAAATGATGTTTCTTTTTTCAAGAATTTACTAGTCAAACTACAAGGTATGAATTTTTATCCATCAGTGGCTCCATTGAGATTTTATGGACCAAGTAATGAAGAAGAAGAGGAAGTGGTACCCGAAGATATGGATACTGAAGAATTATTTCAAACACTAGCAATTAAAAAGATGCCTGGTCCACGTGCTCGCTGGTACAAAAGTCCATGGAAGCGCTTATGTCCAGTAGCATTATATGAAGGTCAACTATCAATTGGTAAACCAGAATTTACAGTTGGGTAAGTTGAAATAGAAAAACGGCTCTACTAATAGATACAAGAACGCTTGCAATGAAAAGGTGGTTAGTAATTCGCGGTAGAATTATCCTGTGACATAAGTCTCCCCTAAATTTTGAACCGAGATTAGTTGACAACGTAGGGTTATCTTAAATTGTCTAGTGAAAAACTACTTAAGTAATTTTCTAATTCTCATCTTACTTACTTTTTCCGGAGCATCTTGGATTTCCCACTCTCTACCAGGGGCATTTTAAGCAGACGAAGGACAGAAGCTCATTTCTATACATGACTCCATTGTGTTTTTACCACTGCAGGCAGCTATTCTCTTAAAATATATTTAAAATATTTCATAATTTCTTTCTAGGACGACAGATTTAAATGCTGTAAACGTCTATGACAATTAGATTTGATTAAGACAAATGCTCTGTTTTACCGCAAATTAAAGCAAAGATAGATTGACTCGATGTTGAATAGTTAATGATGGCTTGTGGTAGAATCCAAATGACATCATGTTAACCTTCGGATATTCTCTGAGCATCCGTACTAGGGGTCGATGTGTCAAAAGAAAGTGGGCTTTTCCACACGATATAAATTAGTCCCTGGGAAACACAAAACAGTATCAACAAGTAAACTTTATATTGAAATCTGTGCCGAGTATGTTGTTTAGAAAGACAATGAAGCCATCGAAGGTGAATCATCCAGTTCAGGGAATCCAACTACGCCGATTAAAATGTATGCTTTTGTTTTGCTTTTGGAATCTTCAAACTCCTAAACACCCTAAAGAGTCATATCTTTTAAATATGATACATCATATTTCTCATTCGCCTATTCTATCACATAAATTCATCTGTAATTTATTGTTTTCACAAAGTGTAATGAGAATTAATTGTGTGAAACTTATCTGATTGATTAGTCTTTCTACACTTAGATTTATACAAATAAGTGTTTTGCTTTCATCGACTAACTTTGTCTATCTAACTGTCGATTACAGATAATTATCCCTCGACTTGTGTTGGCATGTTACTACTAACTATCAAGTTATCAAACAGGCCACACTTTGTTCGCTTTCCATTGAGTAAGGAAGTCCTTGACAATATTTTAATAATATGTAGAACAGATTACAACAATCCTTTTTATTGGATATCTTCTTGCAGTCTTATTTGTTCACATTCTTTATTTTGCGAAGTACTAAGTCGAAGATAATTATGTTACAACGTAACTGCATTTTTATATAGCTGTAGAAGTGGAATCCAATATTTTCTGATTTTTGACTTTCACTAAGCCTCAATACAGTATTGTTAGAGGGAAAAAGCTATTCAGAGACTTCCAATTTTTAATAGTTCTTCCAGCTGGTATCACTCCATAATGAAATCTGTCTTCATCATCTGCAAACTACCTGAAGGTGAGTGTGAGCTATTTATCTCCTTCGTATGATTATGAGCAATGGATTGTCCTTGAAAATGTGAGATTTTATTGGATAACACTATTCTTAGACAGGATTATGATCTGTCATACTGTTCAGATTCTAAATTTATTTGTCGGATTTATTCATTTGGTTCTACTTATATTTCATTACCTGACAAGAATATCAAAAGTGATCTTCGTGGTGTCTGATTTAGCATTGAAGTACAGTTCTTTCCTATCCCAGTTTTAATTGGACATCTAGATGACTTGCAGCACACGAGTTGTTTTATGATGTGATTAAAATTAGCCTGTTTAAATCACGTTATCCATCTTTACTGTGTGAAAGGCTTATTGTTATACCAGTTATATTATGTCATGATTTATTCTTTAGGCCGATTCATATAGCAGTTATCTGATTAAGAAAGTATAAAAAGTAATTCTCCTCGAGTCAACTAGTATTTGTTCTGAACATTCCCGAGGAGAAACTATATTAGTTATAACACTAGAATACTTCAAATCAACAGCTGTTTGTTCATAGACAGCATATGATTTGACGCTTTTGTATAATTTTAATTAGTTTTACTTTTTACTGAATTAAATAATAACTGATATCCGCTGCAAAAAAGGTGGCCCTTATGGCCCAGTTGGTTTAGTGGATAAAACTTTGGCGTTTGAAACTATGGGTACCGGGTTCAAGCCTCACTTGGGACATTACCACTCACTGGATAGTGCAGCTACATCCGGTGACGAGTCCCAAATGGGACGGAATGTGCATCCTGGATTCCACTGCTAGTCGCTATTCCCCAAATTACTTCAGGTTGAATCCACATACATTGTCAAAGCATCTGTGCAAGGAGCCAACATTTCATCAGAGGGCAAGGAGGCTAGTCAATCAACAGGGAAGTCCACAATGAATTAAGTAATTTTAGTTACATTGTTTATCAGTAAAATATTTCAAAACTAAACAGGCTTTTTGTTTTTCATTTTAAAAAATGATCAAGTTATCTTGGACAAATATTCTGCCTTTCAAATATCACCAACTATACACTATTTATGAAAAATCCAAGACCATATTTACTACCGCCCCAACCAAGACCACCATTTCGTGTTATTGTCCTCGGAGCTAAATCAACTGGTAAGACTCAGCTGATACGTGTATTGGCTGAATCATACAGAGCTAGAATTATTGATCTAGTTGGAATGCTTCAAGAAGAATATGATAAAATATTAAATGCAAGATTAAAGGAAGTTCAAGAGACTACAGAGGCTATTGTTATTAAAGAAGTCACTGAACGACACGAAGCTGAACTTGAAGCCTATAAAACTAGTAAGATTTAGTTTACATGTGAATATTGTGTTGCTTAATGCTTTTTATATTAGTTTGACTTTATACAACAATATAATCTATTTGGTAAAACTGATTGGCCAATTGATATACTATTCATAAAGATCAATCACTCTAAATTACTGCATTTCGAAGGAGTACAATAAACACGGAAATGAAAACGGCATTATTAGTGTTTCTTGGTATTCCGAGAAACAAAAGCAGGCAATCTACATTTTCCTTCATGGCTCTAACCAGCATTTAGTGGTCTCATGTATTAATACCGTCGTTTAATAGGATCAAACTGAACTCTTTTCCAACCTAACAGTACTTCAGATAACGTCATTTGTGCAGGGTGCTGGTGGCTAGGTAAGCTTATCATATGTCTTATTTGTCTCAGTCGATAAAGCTACGTAACGACCCACTGTCATTATCTAAAATTTGACACCAAACTCCTTTATAATTCACCACTATCACTGGAATGAAGACATTTGTAATTGAAAACGTGAAACCATTCCTTATCTTTGATCTTGTTTTACAAGCTTCATATAGGATAGAAAAACTTGTTGTACAACACATGCCGGTCGACAGGTAGCCGGATACCACATTGTCTTCAAGGATGGAGCAAGTTGAGGAATAAGCCTTTCATATCTGAGCTGAGGTATCATCGGTAATCAAGTTCATCAGAGCTGAAGTAGTTTCTCAAATAAGTGAAGTGGTCCACACATTCATTTATTTTACTGCCTATTGTTAAACTAGGCCTCGGTGCCGACTAGTTGATTCAGTATGAGACTGAACAAACGTTTTCTTTACATAGAGTTTGAGATTATGTTGAGGAGTCGCCAGAGCGTCAGCTATACACAAATATTGAAGCCTAACACCCCTTCTGTCATTTAATTTCATCCTGTGGATAATCTTAAAAGACGACCTTAGTGGAGCTGAGCTCTTTGAGTTCACTAGGTGCTTGAGAGTTGTGTTAGTAATTGTCTTACATTGTCCTTTCGCTAGCCATGCTGGATAGTGCCTGGAAATGAGTTTGGTGTGTGTGCCTGGTGGGGCTAATACAGTTAGCGACACAGGAGCATGTGAATTTATACATATACACTGAAGTGGCCCAAAGTAGCAGTTTGTTCCTCCTACGCTTACTGATTATCTGTCAGCCAAAAATGAAAGCTATTCTCAGCAATCTGAATGAGCGGTCCTTCAGAATCTCATCTAGTGTATTATTTTTGTTTGGTTCTTATTAATGTCTTCATAAACCAATTATAATTCATTGTTAACGACAACTATCACATTAGACTGGAGGGTGAAATAACTCCAAGATTAATAAATAATATTAATTATTAATACGTATATAAGTATGTTAGTGAAAGTAAAGTTTCTACTAAAGATGTGCAAAGTCAGTACATTGGAATAAATCCAGTACAATGAAGCAAGTTTACCGGAATGGAATAAATTAATTTTCACCCTTATTTCTTGTATTTCGCAACTCATCATTCTTTGCGTTCCGAAAGAAAAAAGGGCTTTGAAATTTCAGAACCGGCTGTAATATTCTTGTGAGATGTTTACCTCACTCTTAATCTTCCTATTTTAGTCTGAGCTCAATACTGACGAAGTCTAGGAGTGTGTTGGCCAAGAGATGAACCCAGACCTCCCACACGAACGTCAAGAGTTCTGCTAATGAACTATCAACGCCTGAATTTAGGAAATTAAAATAAAAACTTTCCAGAAGAATCCACATTATAGTTCAGTCAGTAAGATTACCGAGTTAGAGGGGATAATCCACCGGAATTGGATGTATATTTTAAGTTTAACTGCCACCTAAAAGCTTCAAAACCATAACATTGTCCTGCAATGGTGACTGAAGTGGGGACTTATTGATTTCAGAAAGTCATTCGTAATTTCATACATTTGGTTGCTTTTATAAGTTTCAATTAAGAAAGAAGGACCAGATATGCAGCATTAAATGGTAGCATTCTATTTCACATGGGCAACAACAACAGCAACTACAACAACAGACAACAATCAGCCATCATAAATGGGAGGAACCTGAAAGAAACAACCTCCTTCACCTACCCACCTACCTGGGAAGCATCGTTTCAACTACAGGCGGGCGGAACTGACGAGGATATCAAGGCGAGGATCATCGGAAAAGCAAGACAAGCTTTCATTACTCTTAAGTCTGTGTGGAGGTCCACAACACTCACCATCAAAAATAAGATCCGGATTTTCAACTCCAATGTGAAGTAAGTCAGTGCTACTCACTATACGGATCAGAGACTTGCATTGCGCGTAATAAAGAGCATCTCAAACAAACTCCAGACCTTCATTACCAGTTGTCTTTGCTCAATACTCAAGATCAGATGGCCGGTCAGAAAAGATCAGCAACAGGGTGGGATCTAAGGCAATGAGCGAACCAACGTAGCAGGAACCGATTGTGAAACAAATAGGCGGGAAGAAATGGAGATGGATTGGCTGGCCATACTGTGAGGAAACCATCAAGTGACATCACTAGACATGTCATTGCTCGAGTGGAACCCGAAAGGGAAGCGGGTGGCGAGTTGTTCGTCAGTGCAAGGGTGACTTGAAGGAGGTGATGTGAAGAGGAGATGAAAGCGTGTAGGCAGACTTGGAGTGGGGTGAAAAAGTTGGCAGAAAACGGAAGGCAATGGAGACGTGGGGCTGAAGCCCTATGTTCCTCTAGGTATTAAAAGAAATAATAATAATTCTATTTCACAAGCTCTTACCAGGAGCACTGCACTTTACCCACTGTTATGAGAACGGAACTTCGTTAACTCGTATTCCTTTTTTCAAATTCAAGCGCATACCATTTTTTCGGATTTTTTAAAGTCCTAACTATAATCAGAGAGAGTAATAGTAGCAACAAAAGCAACACTGGCTTCATTTGACCAGTCTGCTCATGTTGACTAAGTCCTCCTTACTCCTTTTGACAAATAACGATCAGTTTTAGCGTCAAACCACATTGTGATACCTGTTATTCTATAATTTACCCTATCTAAAATAAACACTTAAAAGTTAGTGTTCAGTTGACGCTGATACAATGATTTCGAGAATCTATGACAGTTTACGCATTCTAAATGTTAAAAGGATAATTTAAATGAATTTCATTAAACAAGCACAAAGAATCATTGTAATTAAATTGAAGAGGCTTTATTTTCATTTGGTTTTAATACATTTAAAGTGCAGATATTTCAGTATTCATTAAACTTATATAATGGATTTTTACTTTGTTTAAATAACCACGAAATAATCTTAAGATAAAATTGCTGAGCATACAAGTGAAGTGATTACACAGAAAATTACAGACGAAATAGAAGAAGATGCCATTAAGGATGCTGCAGCAATTTATGATGACGAGACAGAAAGTGAAGAAAGTAAGCATTAATCTTGCATTCAACATTTACCACCCTAATAATAAGTGTCATTTAATTAGCAAGTGAATTTTTGTTTTTCAATTTATTACAGTCGTACAGCCATAATCCTAAGGCACTAGGCAACTTACCTGTCTACAATACTTCATTTTAGGAGTATGCTGATGAAAAGGTGAAATTCGAAAGAGTAAAATGCCTGTCGAGTTATTAAAGTTCTCCGTTGTTGCTAACAGGTACTGTTAGTGCTAGCAGTTTCTAGCTATTCATGGAGTTCAGTAGTATACATAATATAGTATAAAAGTAGAGTGGTATTGGTTTAGAATTACAAAAACTAATCAGCCAGATGTACTGAATAACTCCAATGATATGAATCTTCACACTGATCTTGATGCCGAAGGGATTAAATACTGTGACCCTTGGGTTGGAAGAGTTATGCTGGTGTAACTGGTGAGCACTGAAGGCGGAATATAGTCTTACGGTCAAAACAGAATTCATATCAGTAGTGTACTGTATACTTGATCAGATCTCTACCGGCTAAGTGATGACATTCACCTGAAAACCATTTTTGCGATTGATAGTGATTAAAAACGGTTTCAAATAGCTGTCACGTGAGTGTGTGAGTGAGGCAAGAGTTTGATTTCCATAAATTAATGAAAAAAGTTATCGAAACTTTACTTGGCTAAGCCCATTTCATCTTGTTAATAAATTTTAACGTAAGGTTCATTGGAGTTTTCAGGTTAGTTTTTGCTTCGTTTGTTCGTTTGATGTATTCCCGAATACATTTTTGTTCGTGTTGTTTGATGTATTGTTTTCATAAAAAGTTTTATTCATGAAAACTTAAAATTGTGATACTAAAGCTTTATTAGTAATCATTTCATGATGAAAAGGATCCACACACACACACACACACACACTGGAGCAGTGTAGCAAACTGCATATTTTAACTATCTAAACAAATGTAGGTGTTTGTTTTGACTGAAAACTCTGTTATTCGCACTAGTCACTAGTCAGTGTATCCATTACACTTCAATAGGAGGTTAACCGTGAGCTTGAATACCTCAGTGTTAATGTCTATGATTTCAGCACTTGGTGACGCGGGCTCGAATCTGAGAAGAAACATCAATTCCTTTGATAGTAGAGATACGCCTTATTAACAAGTGTTGTCAAGCACAAAACATAAGTTCAGGCCTATCTACTGATTACCTTCAACTATCTAATATTAATTCACAGTGCACGGCTATGGTGAATCACTTATCTTGGTGACAAGAATGCAAACTTGTCTGGTGAAGTTCAGACGACACCAACATCATGGGCTAGACAAATGACGCCAGTTACTCCCTCTTGAACAATGAAGACGAAAAGACCTTTGCTTGGCTGTCATTAAGTGCATGAGTGATACGTGGTAAAGAAATGAAACGTTGGGGGAAATTTAATAAGATTATCGTATAATACAAATTTAGGTAAGGGTGTAGTTGTCATGATATTAATAAACCTATGCACAGAAACGTTACACTTGGTAACGCTTGACTTGTCTAACCTCATTTCTTCTTGTTAATAAATTTAATATAAGGTTCAATAGATCATGCGGGTTAGTCAGTGTTTTGTTTGTTCCCAATATGTCTTTGTTCCTCTTATTTGATTTAAATAGTTATAGAATTGAATGCATTTCATGAAACCCATTGTTAGTGTGTACTAATTTGGTAGAAAATAAAGTATTGTTTCAGCTACCGACTTCCACATATCTGGCTTTAGAAAAGAGGTGAAGGTGTCAGCTGATTTAGGTGTGCGAAATATTCATATATTATGAATTAACGGTCGGCCTGAAAAAAATTCTTTCCCACAATTAGTTTGTAGGGATTGTATTCGTTTCAGGTTAGACCGTGGATTGATATCATTTAGAGAACCACTGAAAACCAGAGAGTACTGGACGGCTGTTTCGTCCCAGTTTGGGACTCATTGGCAGCACCCACTCACTGGATTTCTAACCAAGTACCTTCTGGTTACAAGGCAAGCTCGTATACCATTCGGTTACTAGAACCCGATTCAGTGACCCATGAGGGTTCTCTGCCCCCAACCCAGTGGGTGCATGTCACTGATGAGTCCCAAACTAGGGTGAAGCAGCTTTCTACTTTCCAAAAAATCACCCGCAGGTTTCTGAACTTATAAAATGAAATATTTGCTATCGTTGAAATAATAGCCAGTTATGTGATGGACACAGTTCTACGTAGAATAATAGATTAGTTACAAGTTGACGATCACCCATAACAGATTCTTATATTGTGGGGAAGGAAATGAAAGTAAGTTGTTATAAGGTTTTAAAACGAGTCTGGTGAGTGGTAAGTACACAGATAGTATGAAACAAATAAGAGATGTTAAGATTGAGGGGAATAGTTCATAATGGAATAATCGAAATGTGAAATGAATAAAGCGTAGTCATATGATGAGTAAAGAGTTAACATCACTAATAATCGGTAAGAATTACTTAATAGTATCTATACTTATGGAAAAGTTGACAGTGAAGAATACTAGAGTGAATGGTATAAATTATAAAATATTGTTTGGAGGATTTCATCATGAGATGACATCAGTCAGGAAATAATGGGAAACCTAGAAGGGAGTACTAGACAGCCAGCCATTTCCTCGTAGTTTGGGACCCTTCAGCAGCACGCACCCACTCACACGGGTTGGAGCCCAGGACCTTCTGGTCGCGAGCCATTAGGACTCCATCCGATTGCCTATGAATTCTAACTTCTGCCAATTCATGACATTGTGACTAAAATTGTTTAGATGAAGACAAAAGTAATAAAGCATCAGAGGGGAATAAGACGAAGATAAATTCATGGACAAAAAACTTCTAATGATATTTTGGTCCCTTCTGAAAGTATTTTTTAAAGTAAAATTTTCCTACCTAGTTAATGTTATTGCAACAATTCCAACTGTATGTAGTGGGCGTAGGAGAAATGTGTATACTGATGAATTCGAAATGTGGTGTATAGGCGTAAAGGCTGTGATAGTGTCAATGCTATGTCTCATATTTACCAGTTGTGATGGAAGTAAAATTTCCATGTGTCTGATTTCACACATTTGAACCAGGTTGGCAAATACTGTCGAATCCATAGACGAAGCTACCTAGTCATACACCCTTTATAACTTGAACGGCTCGAACATTTCGAACGCTGATTAAACAAAGGGGACCTAAGATTAGATAAAATGTCTTTTAGTGTAGGGGTGAACACTGGATGGTTGTTGAAGGATAGGGATAGATGTCCAGAGTGGAAAGTCCCTATAATAATAACAGATGACATAAAGCAAAATAGTGATAATAGCAGCTAACTGGTAATGGATGTAACTGTGGTCGATTCAGAGTGACCAGCATTTCTTTCTCCAAGCAGAGACTGGGTTTATAGACCCTAATTTCACAAGCATCAGTTTCTCTGCTGACGACAGTGAATGACTTCACAGAGGCAATACCATGTCCGTAGTCTATGAATTGCTTTTTTATTCAATTTTCCACAATCTTGACTTGTTTTTTTTAACTACTAAAGCAAATACGCCATCTTGCCTGCAAACAATCGCCTTTCCGTACAACTTATGTATCAGCACCAAAAGAATTCTCATTGTAACATAATCAGCTTGACAGAATAGGTGGCCATCGAGCTGAAAGTGGGCATCTTCAGTAGATACATTATTCTTGGAATATATATTGGCCTCTCTGCACATAATGTCAGTATTCTGGACAGCTAATATATTTTTAAATAGAAAAGTGATATATAAAATAGAGACAAGTTAAGGTCCTCAATGTTCTTGACAAAATGGAAGCAATGAGAGATAAAACAAAGGGAATTAGCATAATTGTATCAAGGAATAAAATTTGATTTGTTGAGTTAATATTTTAAATTTACAAAATTATTTGGCAAATGAGATCATTAAGTTTTGCTTTCTCCTTTATTTACCTACCCAGAAACAAGCGTGTTAAGCGAAGAAAACTCAAAGCCATTTTCACTTTACATCCCAGAACGTAAGTAATTTATTTTTATGTATTGTTAAAATGTAAACAATTTGAGTCAAGTTGTAGAATCAGCTGAAGTGAAGTAACTACGGAACAAAACTATTAATTCATTCTCACCTACTTTTATTGTCAGTAGAACAAATGTTATGCGATTAGTCGTGTTCTCTGAACTGGTTGGTTTAATCGCAGAGCTTAGAGAACACAATTAATCGCAAATCATCCACCTGAGCTACAAATCTCTATTATTTCAGAATAAATGTTAATTTGGAGTATCCTTCAATTATTTATCCAAAGCAGCTAATGAATTAGGATGAAATAAAGTCTGATTCAAAAGTTTTCAAGTTAAAGACTTCAGAGATGGAAAACATTGGTCAAGAACAACATAGAGAAAAAGACTTTCCTTACTGAGCTATGTCTTATCTTCCTAAGGACGTCAAACACGTCGATGGTGCAGCAGTAGAACACTCGCCAAATATGACTCATATGGTGTGTGGTTCGATCTCTGGCCGACACACTCCTAAACCCCACTAAGTCGTTGGCAAAGCCGGTAACGAAGGGAGTTTGGGCATAAGGCTAGAAAACCCATCCCGTAAAAATAAGACAGGTAGCTTGAAAATCCATATTAAGTCGTATAAAAAAAGAGAAGACGTTTAGCGAAGAGACTCTTCAGCGAATTCATTCGCGTAGCTGTACAATCGCATTTATATATAATTATTTGTGTGTCTGTACATGAGGTTTGTCAAGTTTAGATAATTGATCAGATAATAAAAGAATGATCTAATATAGAAACAAGGTTAATTGGACAGCAACTAAAGTAAGATTGAGTTAGTAGGTTGTATGATGTAATATAATTGACTAAAATGTTTCAACTTAGGTCAGGGTAGCAACAGAGGTTATTACAGGTAGAGAGTAAGTAGAAGTGGGGTAGATAATAATGCCATTTAAATTAGAACTGAAATTGAGCAATTAAGTTGGATGACGTAACATAAATGACTAGAAATTGAGCGTTGTTCAGGTCAGGAACAGTGGTAGTGAGGTGTAGAAATTAAATCGGGTGGGGGTAGAGAACAAGAAAGTTGATAATGCAAAATATTACAATTGAGAAGACAAAATGATACCAATGAAGAAAGAGAAGAGAAAAAATTAAGCAGAATTTACCTGTCGGTTAATAAGATAGATTAAGTCCATTGCAAGTGTAGTGATTGAACGAACTTCTTCTGTATGCAGACTTCAGGGCTTAGCAAGTGAATCGCCGTTGCTTCTGCAGTTTGAAGAAGTCTGATTCGTACACCCTTAGGAAGACTACTTTTTACTCTGTAGACGACTTTGAAGTTTGTTTGGAGTGCAGCTTGGCGTCAGGATTCTATCAGATGTTCTAAGATGGGGCTGTGGGGACATCGTTTTCATCCATTGTAAAACCATGTTGGTAAGTTTTCGGTGATACGCTTGGAAAGCGAACACTGAGGCCCTATGTTCAATTTGGAACGTAAAGAAATAAAAAGACGTCAAACGCGATTAAATCCTAAGCTTATTGGCTGTAAATCTGTTGTCTCAGCCTAAATCTGTGAAGATTGTGGACAATAGTATTTGATCAATATTTAAAAAGTTTATTAGTTAATAAAAAGTTAAAGTTAACAAAAACGGTTCACAGCAGTGAGTCATGATGCACATTCTGCTTACTGTCTTGGTAACGTTTAAATCGTCAAGTAGGTCAAGCATTTTGATCTGGACAAATGCGATTCTAAGTGAGAAATGAAGTGAAATTTCACCCGGAACAATCAAATTTGCAAATGATATATTCTGTCCAACCAAAAGGGTAGCAGTTCTACTCGTTTTTCACTTATTCGATTTTCACTTACCCATTAAGAGTTAAGTGCAATCTAAATAAATGAACTCTATACCGATATATGATTGATGAAATAATTGAGATTTTTATCTAAAGATATAGATGGGTATCGTTTGATGTTTTCCAGTCAATAGAATTGTTTCTTGGACTTTTTTGTCACTGAGCTCGGCGATATTTTGATCTCTAACTTCTTAGTGAACTTGAGAGAAAACCGAACCATACAAATATAATATATGTTGATTTTAGTAGTCATTGACAGTTGGTCGGAGCCATGCAGGGAGGTGAATACTGCCTGAATTGGTCTCTTGGAATCCTAAGAGTCAATGATCTGAGACCCTTTGTATTGTGATTGTCATTGTTACCTTAGGTTCCGACTGGAACACAAAGCTTCAACAGTACATCTTCATTTCATTCTGTCTTCTACAGTCGTCCATAAGTTCTCATCTATTCTTCAAATAATCTCCTTCAATATCACCCTAGGACGCTCAACTCCTCATTCCACATTCCGGTTTCGCTTCGGGATCTGGTGCGCTAAGTCACCTGAAGGCCTCCTCGGCATGTATCCGATTCATCTTCAGTTTCCTCGGCATACTTGTTGGCATATGACTCCGTAGTTAGTTCGTACCCAGAGTTCCTTGTTGCTAATCCTTTATGGTTATCTGATCTTCAGTGTCGGGTTAGCGAAGGCAGTTGTTAACAAAAGTCTGCAGCCTGTTGGAAGTACTATTCGTGACATACCAGGTTTCTGGCCCATATGGAAGAACTTGCATAACAAAAATTGAATTTCGTTCTCTATGCTTAGTGAGGTAGATTACCAGAGTGGTTTCAGATTAATGAATGTCCGTCTGCTCTTTCCAGTCCTATCTTTGATAATGGCTGATGTTCGTTATTATTGGTTAGGCATCTTCATCAGCCCTGTCTTCACTATGTTCCCTAGAGGTCCTGTTTTTGCAACTTCTTCTGTCAACCTGTCGGTTTTCTCCCTCAAACCTTTGATTTCGTGTAACATTTAACATAAATCATCGGCTAATTCTATTCGTCTTGGAGGCCGTTTGTGACAAGGCTGAAAATCATTTATAGATGTACTCACTCGTTTTCAACATCCAGTTCCTGAAAATCTTCACTAGTCTTTATTAAATTGCCCCTTGTCATACGTGGTCGTCCGTTATACTTTCTCGCATTACTTTTATATGCAATTTTCTGAAATGTAGAAAACTGAAATAATATCTTTCTTTGTAAAGTTCTATGATGATAGTTTGGTCACTCAGTCACATGTCTAATAAAAATGTCATGATTAAATACAATATTCAGTAAGTGAATAGACATGATTCTCATAAGACAACTCCAGAAATTGAGTTCCTCAGCTTTTAAGTTTTCTATCAAAATAAATATAGCTGGAGAATAACTTACCTCAGTTGTAGTTCATCAATATACAGATGATTGTTCCCAAGTTCCTAGATAGTGTACTTTTATGTGCACTTTTTGTAAGTGTAGCATCTTGAGCTAATTCACTTCTAATGAAAATTCTATAAGATTTAGAGTTGTTTTATACACTTACGAAGAGGATAAATGTGAGACAAATGAGTCGGCGATTCCATTGCAGAATAATCTCCAGCCACGCAACAGGATGGGAATCGGTCTGCTGCCGACACACACCTGCTACTCCTTTAGTTTACTAGGTAGTAGCGAATGAAATTCATAATTTGCGATTTATACAGTTTGGGTGGTGAAATTTCATCGTAGTAGCTCGGCCCCAAACGAGCAAAATGACCATCCGGTGTTTAGATCACCTAGATCTGGCTAACAAGCACTACCTGCTGGTATGAGTGGTATGCAACTACTCATCTCAATCAATCAGTAGTATAGAGTTTTAGTTATTTGTAAGCCTGGAAATTTAGGAAACATTGAACATTAGACTGGCAACCTGATCCCGTAAAACTTCAAAGCTTGAAGTCCTACTTTCTACTTGGAGTAGGAGGCGAGAAAAATATGCATATGACTTAAATTAATATGTATTCTGAATAAGAAGAATTAGCAATTAGTCAAAAACTTTAGCAATAATGTAACTCATAAATACTTTAGGAGTTTTTTTACTAGGTTGTCTTGTGATAAAATTAACCAGTGATTTTTTGTTTGTTACCATATAATATGATTAAATCTAAACAATGGTTTATTGCTCAAATAATCGATATTTTCACGGAAACAGACACTGAGTTTATGCTATGAACATTAAATACCTTAGAGCTGATCCCTTCAGTGTCTTCGGGAAAAGTCCAATGAGACAAAACGATTCCATTAGTTTTCTACCCACTGAAATAGTACTATTTACTGTATATGTTTTTCCTCGACCATCAGGTGCTTGTAACTTTATGTTACCTGATCTACTAAGGGTGATGAAATAGTACGCAGTCTTATAGTTTTGGTTAAAGTTCGAAGACGGTTGTATACTAAATGCATGCCCCACACCCGGATAATATTTTACCCAGTAAGTTACACTATTTCACCATGTGATATCTGCAATGAATAAATTGAAGTGGAATTACATTTTACCATAGCATCGAAGTTTTACACCTTAATATCACTGGTCTGATATTTTACTTTTTTAAGCTATATCAGGTATACTACTGATTTAAACACAAGTAGCTCAAAATAACTCGTAACAGCCATAAGTATTTCATATGAACTGTGATCAAGATTTGATCGAAGTCCCAAAATAATTGGGTGCCTAATGAGGAGCAGACATATGTAAAAGTTAGGTTTGTAAAAATCTCAGCAAAGTTGAAATAAGTAGTTCCAACGTTTTGTTTGGACCAGTCTGGCGTGTTAGAACTTTACTCAGAACTACTTTGATGACAATTCGAGTGGGCTCAAACAGTTTTTGAACATGTATATTTCACTTGAATGAGGAAGAGAGTTTAATAAAGAGATAAAGCCATAGTTATGTCGTTGTTACTATCAGTGCAGTGCATATGTACTTGGCAGAATAGCAGGGTGTCAGTGAGAAGAAAGACCTCTCATCCAATTCCCATTTTATTGAAGTTTTCAAATACATTCATTATAATAAAGGTTTTTTGTATTTCAATACTGTCAAAATCGATTTTATGGCCTGATTTTATAGCGTATAGATCTATGGCTGATGATTTTTCAAGTTCTTCTAGTTCAACTGGATTTCTCGGTGGTCGAAGAGATGCTCTACGGTGTTCATTTCTTCTGATGATGATTTCTCGAGATGTTTGTCCGATGTAGATCGCATCACATTCCAAACATCTTATTTTATAGACACAATTAGAAAGAGAATCTTTCGGGGCCTGGTCTTTTAGATAGACAAGGTTGCTTTGAAGTGCGTCTGATGTTTTGAAGAAAATTCTAATGTCGAGCTGATTGAGTACTCTTCTGATATCGCCTGACGTCTCTGCTCTATATGGAATAACGACTGTCGATGTCCATGTTTTCGGAATGCGTTTTCGGCCATACTTAATGTCTGTGTTAATTTTGTTGATGAAGTTCTTTGGGTAGTTGTTTTGCTTGAGAGTTTCAGTAATGTTTGATATTTCTTCTTCTTTTTCGTGCTCATCCATTATCAGAGAGTGTGCTCGTCTAAGAAGACTTGGAACAACTGAAATCTTTGCGCTGATGGGGTGTGATGATTTGAAGTCTAAATATTTATTGGAGTGGGTTTTCTTCCTGAATATGGATATACTAAAATGTACGTTTTCCTTTCTCTTAACTAGGCAGTTTAGAAATGGTAGTTCACCGACGTCTGATTCTGCTTCCGAAGTGAACTGGATTTTGGGAGATATAGAGTTTATTTTCTCCAGGAATGAATTGTGTAGATCTCGTTTTAGTACTACAAAATTATCATCCACATATCTTAACCATATTTTAGAAGTGAGTATGTTTGAAAAGATGTTATTTTCGAATCTATTCATGAAAAGGTTGGTGACTATTGGGGAGACTGGTGAACCCATGTTCTCACATTTGCCCATGTTGCTATGTATGTAAAATTCCAATACCCCTGTTAACCAAGTTATCCCAGACCCCCGAAGAGAACACCGATGGAATGTTAGAAACAGCATTATTCACTTTGACAAGTGAATAGGGTGAGAAATCAGATTTTGAGTTCCACTTATTCTAGCCTTGAATTCATAGGGAAATTTGTAGACATCAATCTTGCATTCATAAGATAACGAGCCGCTAAATACAGATATTAATCTCTTAGGTATCGTTACATCTGTTTCAGTCATTACCATGAGGTATAAGATCTACAGACATAAGCAAACCATATACTCAGCGATCCCTCCATGACTCATACAAAAAGATGCAAGGCACGTAATTTACTTGCAAAATAAGTCAACTGGAATTTGTGTATTTTTCCAAAATTTTCAGTCTTAAAATTTATATGTTCTCTTCTTAATTTCAACCATTAATAATTGCAGGTGACAGTTTTCTATAGCCACTATTCCCATTCATTTATTAATTACCTGAAATTTCACGGAAAAAATTACTACTCATATTCAAAATCTGGTAATTTTCACCCTTTGAAATGATCTGTTGTCTGGATGTGTGTGTGTAAAATATTGTATTGAAATTTCTAGTGTGGTAAAAATGAGATAAAAAGAATGCATACCACTTCAAGTTGGTGTGTATATGTTTTACTGACTATAAGATTTGCATTTCGCAGCTGGTTTGTGTCCAGTATCCCATGAACTCCAAGATATACAAGCAAAAGCCAAAAACCTGATGGAAAAGATTGTCAAGACGGAACTACAAATGAATCGGGTGAAAACAAATCTTTGATTGGAAACAACAATGGGAGAAATTTAAAGGAATTCGTCGCTCCAAATGCATACACCACCATTGGAGATGTGAAGACCAGTCAGGAGAGCATTATAAAAGGAAGACAGGTATTCGTTATTTTACAGTAAGCGCGAAAGTCTATAACACTTGGGATGATAAGCAAAACCCGAGTTTAGAACACGAGAATCAAGTCAGTACTTCCATATGCTGCATCCCATTAGAGGGGTTTCCAACAGCTTGATGAAGACTTTCGTCAACACATGCCTTCACTTGATAACCAAGATCAGATGGTCAATTGGTCGAAAGAAACAAGGAGGTTTGTCAGAGCGACAGTCATTGATCTATGGTTCAACAAATGTTCAAGAGGTAATGAAAATGGACTGGGAATATGTTGAGGAGACTTTCAAGTGACATTACACGCTAGACAGACCGTTGAGCTGAACCCGAACGGGAAGCGATGAGTTAGACGTGGGGACAAGAGTGAAAAGGAGGGGGAGGAGAAGGAGAAAATGAAAGCTCATGAGTAGTGATGACACCAGGTAGAAAAAAAGATAGACGAATATGCGCTGCTGAAGCTCTACTTGAAACGCAAGTAACAGATAGTAATTAAAACAAATACTTCATTCGTCTCTTTTGTGACACGTTTAATATGAATGGATATACTGTTTTATTTTCTCTTATTTTACTGGAATAATGTTTACAGATTTACGTCAACCGGTGGATAAAAATCATCCAGAAGTTAAAACAAGAGTTAAGAAAGCTATACATTTAGCTAAACAAGAACCAATAGAATTGGATGTTGATCTTTACATTAACGCTGTACGTGTGGCAGTCGAAGAGGTTGAAGATGAATTACGTAAAAATAATCCAGGGGGTCCTTAGTAAGTGAATAATAAGCTATGTTATATGAATATAATGAGAGTTTTCAGAGTTATATATTTGATAAAGAGAACCGGAATTTAAATATGTTTGGATAGCTTAGGCTTTTAGAAACAAATTTCGACAAATCCTTTTTCTAAATATCACGAGAAAGGTGACATATGAAGTCCATCAGTTTGAGTGTTATGAATAACAGCTGTCGATGACAGTGAGTGGCGTAACTGCTGTAAAAGAATCTGACATAAATTATAATTCGCAGGGTATTGTATTTCAACTGATAATTGATTCTTCCTATAGCTCTGACTTTCTGAATTCAGATACGGATGTTCAGTTCTATTTCTTTTTCAGTGATCCTCTAAATAATGTCGATTTGTATCGAAAACTATTTCGAATACTGTATATCAATTTACTAATCCTTCATGACTAATTGTAAGCTGTTTTGTTGAAATTTTTACCAACCAAGGTGTCAGGAAATTATCTAATAAATAAGAAAGACATTGTCTAACCCCCTGCCCCCACAACAGGCAGGCAGCATAGCTGTCTTGCTGGTTGTTCAAGAGAAACACCTTGACTCTGTCACATCCTTGGTCATAACCATTACAATATCTTCCTCTGACGCTAACATAATGTAAAGGGTTTACACTATTATGATAACTGCTATATTCTAATCGTTTTCCAGGGGATTCTTCTGTCGTGGCAGAACCCGCAGCAATATTCGTTCCAACCGGTTAGGATCGTTATTTCATTGTGATATAGAAGCCTGATCACCATTTCCAGGTAGTAGCCATCGGTCGGACACAGTTGAAAGATAGATAGATAGATAGAAAGTGAAAGAATCATTTTATTCACAGTTTTACATGTATACATACAAGTTAGGTTAATTTACAAATCAAATTTCAGTAGTAATATATATATATATATTATTCAATTCATCAAAAGAAGGTGTGGTAAATACTTTTTTATTATAATTAATAGTCATGCATTCTCAGTATTCAGCTATCTGAATCTTTCTTCAGACACATATCAGTAGAGATTTTGTCTTGTTTTTCAAAGATGGTAATTCAGAAACAGTATAAGGCACGTCGATGCACAGTTTTAAATACTACTCAATAGCGACGTTTGTACTTCCTTTATCGCTAGATATGATATAGTAAGGAACCAGAAGAATTAAGTGTAGGTGAAGAAAAGGGCGATTATATTTGAGACAATCTTTTCAGCTGTTGGTTTTCAAAAATTGGATTGGTTAAATTTGTTTATTACTTTTTGATTATAGCTTGATTCCACACCGTATTATTGGTACATGTATGAAATTTTCAGCATATGATATTGGTAGCCCAAATTTTTCAGACCGACTAATTGATATCAGGTGTTCGTCGGCTACGGATAGAACCCTGGACCATGTGCATGGAGGGGAAGAGTCCTAACCGCTGTGCCACTGATGCACAGTTAGAGAAGCATTTGAAAACCAGGGAGTACTGAGCAACTGTTCTATCCTAGTTTGTGACTCTTTGCCAGCGTGAACCCACTGGGATTTAAACCCAGGACCTTCCGGTTACAAAGCGAGCTCTAATACCATTCAGTCACGGGGACCTAATCCAGTCGCTTATGAATTCCAACTCCTACGGATTCGTGACGTATATAAGGCAACCACCAGCCAATGTCATGGGCTGGTCACTGTTAGCTTATCTGATTTATTGCTGGTTTTAATGAACGGAGATTTCCTGTGTTAGTCACTTTATCGTTTGTTTTTTTTGTGAATAGTATCTAGCAAATTCTGCGAAACATGGGTTCACATTCAGTACCCTGTTTTAGTGCTAATTTTAAAAGTACTAGACAACTTCCATTCGTTTTATCGGTATCATTCTAATTGGGAGCGAAAATTGGACAGCCTGAGTGTTTTTGTAACTTAGACTTTATTTTTATTTTTTATCGTCATCAGCGATTTGTGTCAGTTTTCTCAGTGATTACATTCCATATATGCCTGAAAAATCCTATCACTAATCAAGTCTATGTAGCCATGTTTATTGTCATCTGATAACCAATTCATGCAGAAGATCTGATTCTTTAAAACTTCACCACAGGTTTTGCGTCTTTTATTTCAATTTCCACTCTGGAAAAGTTTTATATTCAACCATTTTTTATGTAGATTATTGTTTTAGTCTTTGTAATTAACTGACTGACGGACTAACTGCATTTTCTTTACACAACACGGGGATTATTTAGTCACGGTCAGTGGATTATAGATGGGCTTCCTGTACGACCAGATGTCTGGCAAGGTTTTGTTGAGAAAGCACCAGATCTGCTACCAGATTTGATGGTTTACCTGCAAGATACAAGCCAAAATTCGGAGTATTTGATTAAACGGTGGATTAGACTGAAAGTGGAAGAATTCAGTGGTAACCTACAAATTATATTTCTTGAATTATTTTTAATAGAAAAAATGTTTACTGTTTATTCATTAGTACAATGGAAAGGAATAAAAGATGTTGCCAAACTTGTTGGCATGTAACAAGTAAATTTGTTAGAATTACATAAAGTCAGGCGTCGGTGGTGCAGCGGTAGATTGCTCGCCAACCACGCATGTCATTCGGGATTTGATCCCCTCGCTAAGCCAATAATAACACTGGTGGAGTGAAAAGGTTAGATATGAGGCTAGCAGTCCGATTGCATAAAAATAAACACCACTGCTACAGAAACTTCAAGCTTGAATACCTTTGCTTGAATACCTGTACAACATTAGGGTACTTAAATAGTCTTCAAGTAGTACGCAGAAGCTAATAAAATAATTTAGTATACTGATGACTACCAAAATGCGGAATTTATTAAAACTGAGAAAAGTGGTTGAAGGCAATCTGCAGGAAGCTCTGGACCTTGATTTTAGACTTACTGGCACTCATCACCTAGGCGTATCTTCAGAGTCATCCCCAAGCTGCAGTTAACAACGTTACCATTAACCTATTAAGGATCACGAGTGACCTCATGTAAGATCGCAGTGGATACACTGATTGGGTGCTCCGAGTCGGTATTTACCTAGCTTGGTGACTATCCTGCTAACCTGTCTGATACAACCCAATCAGGACCGAAACTAAGTATTAGAGACATGGAGTTGGTTACTTCCTAGTTATCAATCAGTGTACTGAGCTCAGTGTCTATTCAGTCTGTTTCCAAGATCCATTTGACAAGTTGCTCAGGTGCTAAGCTTGACGGCTTCCGTTCAACTACCAACTGTCTTTTTGAAATGAAGTTACCTTAGTCAATACTGCTGTTTACTGAAGAATAGGACTTGTTCAGCATGAGACAGTTTCCAGTCAGTGACTGACTATCAGTAACCTAATAAACCAGTATGCCTTACAAATTAAGGTCTTTGTCCTTCTCGTATGGTCCATCATCGATGAATATATATATATATATATATATTCAACAGCTATCTAGTGGGATGTATGAGCAGGACACCTGGTATTTAAATGAGCAACTAGATATTTCAGGAAAACTAGAAACTGTGTAAGTTAAAAAATAATAAATAGTTTTCTTCCAGACACACTGAGTTCTTGTCATTAGTGAGCTTCATTCTTTGAAATAAGCAAAGCAATCAAGGAACTTGACGATATAAGTAATAGGTTTAATTAAACCAAATGAAATGTTGCAATAAAAGATATCTTACGCACTGACGGATAAACTTGGAACTTTGCCCGTAAGTGTACCTGAGTTCAAGTAGTCGCACACCTTAAATGCACATAGATAAAGTTATTACACTATGCCAACATCAGTGCAAAGAAGGCAATTAAGCGAAGACTGGTGAGGAGCTTCAGGTTTTGAAGATGATAAAATAAATTTTAACAATTGTCAACCATCTTATCAGATGAAAGTGAACACTACTTCTTAGAACTGTGATGTTCGGCTAATTTTAAACCAGCCATTTTGCATTGGTGACAAGATTTTATTACAGACTAGCCTGTTGGGATCACGTCAGGTTTCCGAATAGGAGGAGTGGTTGGAGCATTCAGACATTTCAAACCCTATCCCTAAGCTTGGCACCAATGCAGACCACTCTTGCAGCATCATTTTACATTTAACTAAGAAGAAATGAATATTAAACAACAACAGTGCAATTTCCTTTGAAATTGTCTAGTAGACTCGGCAATTTTTCAGCACTGTCTTAAACGCAAGAATAATTATATATAAATAAACAGTTAGTTACAATAAATATACAATAATGCAGATTTTTATCACATATAAAGACGATGTAGATTTTCAAATACCATGAAAAATTAATTCTATTTAGATATTGAATCGGTCGATCCGTTTGACAATACTGATAGTACAATTTCACAGGATTTGGAAAGTGAACAATTACCTAAAGTACCTGATGAAATTAGCCTTTTAACTGGTCGTCAAGGTCAATCCGCATCAACACGAATCAAAGAACTGGATAAAATGTGGTCACAAACCTCTGATATTATATCGCGTACAACACAACCACTAGGTGCACCAATTGATATTTATGAATTAGATATAATTGACAAGACAATGGATCAAATGCGAGATGAAATATTGGAACGATTAGTTAGTAGGTTGAACTTAGTATTTATTCCCTATCTGTTCTTCTCGCTTTTATTATAAGCCAGGTGAAATTTTTATTCCTACTTTAACCACGGATTGGAAGAAAGCCAGGGAGTACTGGACAGCTGTTTCATTACATTTTGGGGTTCTTCAAAAGCACGCTGAACTATCTACCAGTTGGTGATTTTTTCAGCGCGACCATCAGCTAATGTCATCGGCAAGTATTCAGCCTCACTTCCGACCTAAAGTACTCCAGTGGTCATGACTTCTCAGTATAACTCCAGGTAACTTCGTCCTAAGGCCAGTCACTGGCGACTATCCGACTGATTTTCAAGAGTTACCTTGTAGGGATTTGATCTGTCTCAAGTTTGACCACGAACTGCTTTCACTTAGAGAAACACATCAAATCCTTACAAATTAACTCTTGAAGTTCTTATTTCCAAAATCTTCACCATAAATTCTTACTAATGGATGCTTCATAATGAATAACATTTTATATGTCTCAAAGTGAATGTGACTTAAATATTGTTCTAGCGTTTTATAAGGAAAAACACAGTTTTTTGTTCAGTGAAAGACATCAAGCGACATCAAAAATCGCTGTCAGTATACATATGATGATAAGGATAAAGATAATTAACATGTTTAAGGGATTAGAGTTGAAGTGAATGAATTACAAGATTTTTAAAGATTATTAAATAAGCAATTTGGTGTTAAAATTAGGTCGAGTGTTGTCAAAAATGGAGAAACCATACGTCCGCTTACAAAAGAAAAAATTTCAATCACTTCTACTATCATGTTAACATGCTTGTTGGCTACTACTACTACCTTGATTTTTGTTTGTTTGTTTTTCTATCTCCTTGTAACTATTAAATAATTCCATATTTTCATTCGCTCTTATGTGCATCCTGATTTCATCTCGTTCATTAAGTTATTCATCTTGTTACGTAACTGTAATATGCTTACTCAACTCTTCTTATGCATTGAGTAATATCTCTAACTATGTTTGCGATGACTCACCATTTTTATTACTACCATCTTTCATGAAAAATTGTGTATAATTGGGATTGTACAGCCAAAGGGGAAAATTGAAATCACCGAAAAGAGCCTTTTTCTGTGATCCTATAAGGTCTTGAAGCTTTTCATCGCATTAGATTAGAGGTAGCCTCCATCTCTAAGTGAGGCAACAAAGGTTGTCCTCAATCCGAAACGAGGAAAAGCAGCAGGACCTAATGGAATGACTCCAAAGGCATTTTACGATGGTGGTTACAAACTGTCGTCTAGTTTAAGAAATATATCCCCTTGTCTTTCATTTCCAAGACATACAATTAACTTAATTCGATGTAGATGCATCTTGTTATAAGTTGAGTTACCTTTGAATTCAATTATTTTCTTAATAAATTGATCATTTGTACCGTAATTTTAATTAGTTAAATAATAGACTTTCTTGAGCATGTATATATATGTAGATATTGAAGCCTATGAAAGAATATTTTAACTTTTCTAGAACAATTCAAACTAGAAGCTGTACCAAAAACACAAGATGACTTAGATGAAGAGGAAGAAGAAGATGCTGGTGCCTTTGAAGAGGAAGTTGATGAAGAATACGAGATGGGAGAAGAAGGTATGGAAGAAGGTCAAGCAGAGAATGAAGAGGAAGAGGAAGAAGAGGGTGGAGGTGAAGAATTAGGTGAAGGGGAAGGTGAAGAAGAAGATGAAGTGAGTAATAGATTGATTTTGATTGAATCAATTTCCCAGTGACTTCAAATTATATTTCGCCAGATTGATTTCAATATCTTTTTAATTTTAGGTTAATTCACATTTCACGTTGATTCATTATGTTGAACCGAAATTCTCGATCCGTGTTGACAGGTTATGGCATTTGAAGTAATTGGTGCAGGGTTCGAATCCGAGTGGGAACATCATTACTCACTGTGGAATGCAGGTACATACATCTAATGTATCCCCGAAATGGGATGAAATATGCACCATCGATTCCACTGGTAGTCACCGTCAACCAAAATAACATGATTTCGGTATTCTTACACATTTAAGTTCGAATTTTTTTTTTTATCATAAAGCGTAAACATCATTTACGGACCAATGTAAATAAGTAATAGTGGCAATCCATAGTGTCAATATGACTCAGAATTTCAGTTTTTATGAAATATTTCCAAGAGAACAGTGTCCTAAAGGAGAGAGAAAGTAAACTAAACCAATCAGCTTGAATCGGTGGAAACCGACTGAAATCTCTGTTAATTCAATTTCAAGCACTGATCCACACGTTATACTACTTAAATAAGTGAATTAAACGTAGATGTAAGAATAAAACTTGTGCACTGTGGTAGAGTATAATTCCATTATGGGTAAATTTTGTTTTGATAAAGTCTCACAGTGTTATACAGTAATGTTTACTGATGACGTTTCGAGGACAATTTATTGCTCATAATCACACGACTTCCTAAATTCATTTATATAGTTCCATTGTTTTTCTCTTGATTTTCACTTGATTTGATTGGTAATAGTATTTTTCATATTTCAGGTATGAGTGATGAGTCATTCCTATTGTTTGTGTTGGGTGTAGACTCGATGAACAAGGATTTAGTAATCAACCTCTCTCTCCACCTACCTAGATTACTTTTTAGAATTTCACCCTCTTCCACCATGCTATTGTGTGGTTGTGTGTTAATGAATGCATTGCAATTGCTGAGCTTTTTTCTAAATTCCTTATCTTTTCAGGGTCAACCATTCTTCCCTTAGCTAAATTCGTATGTTCTGACAATCTGACTATCCCTGACCTACTAGTTTGACCTATGTAGTTGACCTTACTCACAGTCATTGCAGGGTATTTTGTAAATTATATTATTTTTTGTCTAATTGGGTCAACTGGGTCCTTTAACCTACAGAGCTTGTCCCTGAGTGAGTTTGTAGGTTTAAATGCCACCCTAATTCCTGCTTTATTTAGAATCCTACGTAAGGTCTCAGATGTCCCCTCTATATATGGTATAATTGTAGATGACTTATATTCTCTATTATTTATGTTATTATTACTAGGTTCACAATTATTTTTATTTTTCGTTTGACCTTTTTCAATCTTTCTAATGAATTTTAAAGATGAATTAAACGTGAAGTATAATTATATTTCAATAGTTTACACACAATGATAAGTTTTGTTATTGGTAATATTTCGAGCAAAATTACTGCCCGAATATGTGGTTTCATAAATTTTCCTATAAATAATCTACAAGTTTCATCATAATAAATGTAAAAAAGTTTAATACAACTATGCAATGAAGTTGCACTTTACGGCAGATGCATTTTCTATTATGAAGATTTGCGATCCCGATACATTTCACTTGTATTAGTGCTCTTATGTTTCTTGTATTATTGTTATTACTACAAAACAGTTTCATTTGACCTGTTTCTTAGTACTGCTAAATTATAAAGATAACTAAAACAGGGCTTATTTGCAAGCTAATTAGAGATTCTACACCAGTCTGTGGAATTGCCAGCTGTTGATTTAAGCAAATCTGCTAGGGACGAGGGTTGTTGAGAGAATAAGAGTCAGTGATTAGGGAAACTATGCATTCAATCAATCACAGTCAATCACTGTGGCTTAGTTACGCCTACTTTTACTTTCTTTGCCTACTACCTATTCTCAATAACATCTGATTTCACTGATTTTCAAACCTTTATTATCCAAACATGAAAAGTGATAATTTTGACAGCTATGCAGTAACACAAAGTGATAGGTTGATATTAGCCATCCAGTCTTACTTATTTGTACGGCATGCATAAAATGGAAATGATTATTTGTTCAATTATGAAACATGGATAATTTACAAATTAAGCAAGCTGTCCATAATGAAATTAAGCAGGACTGACCCTATACTTCATTTGCTTTACTGTGGTTATCAGGATGCGAAAGCGTCAAACAGATGCGGTGGATGCCTCTCAGTCAGTGACAATGTTCTTATCGAGACTCTAACCCGGCGGTTATCGTTTTTAATGCCATAACATAAAGATTGATTGTACATATGGTAATCCTGCGACCTATAGCCGTATACTGTAAGCACATTTAAATATAAAAGGACGTCTTCTGTGCACTATTTACAGCTCAGTGTCTTAGCATTACATTTTTCGTGGACTGGATAAACAAAACTGTTTTAAGAAATGGTTTATACATACATGGAATGCATATTGACTATTCGGCATAATACCTAGAGTAGAGTTGTTTAGACTGCCTAATTTCAATGTATAAGAATGGCGAACAGGGTTAAAAATTACCGCGTTATGAATGATGCATCAGTTTTCTGCTAATCGAGTTATAAGGTAAAAACCACTACCTTGATACTAACTAGATGTCTTCTGTGAAAAAAAATCATTTCCCAACTTATGCAGATTAGTGACCTGTCTCTCGGTCAGCTGATCGTCTAGCTAAGTAAATATTCGATTTATATTTAATCAATAATAATTGAGCTAAACTAGATTTAAAAAGGTAGAGACAAACCCTTTATGCAAGAACTCTGTACAAGTGGGATGACTGATGGACTGGTGAAAAGACTCGTTCTAATTATAAGCATATTTACCCTAGCAATACACATTGAGTCCAGTCATTATAAATATTTAACCATCACTATCTTGCCATTTGAATTCTGTAATTGGTTATAGGATTTCATTATGAGCTGACATTAGTTAGAGAACCGTTGGAAAACCTAAGAGTACTGGACAGCTATTTCGTCCCAACTTGGGACTTTTCATCAGCACACACCCACCGGGGTAATCTGTAATTTTTCTCAATTAAAAATTATTACTATTAGTTTCTAAGGAATTTATTGTTTTAAGCATTTTATTCAGCATGAAAGCGTTTCACCAGAGAAGTCCACGAAGCAATGAACAACTGCTTCATTCCGATTCTACACTCTGTAGAAGTGAAAACTGAGAATCTAGTGTAGTATTGATATGATGAAGGGGCAAAGTTACAATGGTTATTGAATTGTGATTCGTACGTACATCTTTTCTCATCTTTTCGTCAGTTTGTATTCAGGATAAAGTACGATATCTTTCCATGAATTCACTGATTGTTTATCTCAGGCATGTTGGAGTTTTTGAGGCTCTAAAACAAACTGATATTAGACTGTTGGTGATACACCTAAAACTTAACTACAGTTATAAAGACCCTATCCGTCCGTTTTCCTGAAAGATATCGATTCTGGATAAAAATAGCATTCAGGGTAGATCTTGTCACGAACCAATATCCGTTTGAGTACCACTGAAAACCAGGGAGCACTGAACTCTTCAGTAGTGCGCACACACGACCACACCAAGGATGGAACCCAGGACCGTCACTGTTATAAGGTTAGATCGTTAGGTATTCAGCCACTTGGGCCCGAATTAAGTGACCTGTGAATTCTAGCTTTGCTATGGGAAATTATTTTGAACTCATTTGAATTCTTATACATCAGTCAATTGAAATTTTCATTTATCTATATCTGGTGTCTTGAGGTTTCGAATTAAAAAAGTGTGGAAACTGAAAAATCATCTGAACAAGTAAATTTCTAAAAATAGTTTCTCAATATTTTTATGATATGAAGATTATTTGTACAGTTTTGCTTATTGGCAGACCACCGAGTGCATATTTGTAATTTTTAGATTAGTTATAAACAGTCAGATTTTGACGTAAATGTTATAGAATTATTCAATGCACACATATTTATGTATATTAACCAGGACATATCTGAAGTAACAATATGAACAGGTGTTTTAGTTTTTCTTCCCTGTTCTCTAAAATGCTTTTTTTCTTCTTCTAGGAACCAGATCCAAGTAGAAATTTACAAAAGAAATTAGGTTTAACAAGTTATTTCTGTCCAGTAACTTTACATGAACATGAAGTACTGCGTGCTGGTGATCCAGATATTGCAGCTGTCTACCGAAATTTAGTCTACTACTTTGCTAATGAAGATGCAAGACTGAAGTTTATTGAAAATCCAGATAAGATATTGAACACTGAGAATGGGTTAATAAAGGTTTGTTCTATATGCTAAGTAAGAGTTATTTATTTAAGCTAATTTTGTATTTCCTGTTAACTGTCTATGCTGGGCCGAAATGTTTGGTCTGTGTTCACATACCTGCTCCTGATATGAATGCTTCAGCGATGTCTGAGAATTAACATATTGTTATTTGGTGAGTAATTAAAAGCAGTGGCATCTATACCGCGTGTATTTTCCCCATTTGGGATTCGTCAGCTGGCTATACCTGCACATTCTGAATACCACTACAATTCACTACCATCTTAATAAGATCATGTACGTATATTTTTGTGTACACAATTTATTCATCCTTCAATCAACTGTTGTGCCACCTGGTTTCACGTTTCACAAAGCAGACGGCATTTCCACAGCACAACCTGTGATAAAGATGATTTCTCTTTTCATTCCTTACCTTTCGAGTAGAGAATAGCACTTCAAGCTTGGAAGTCTCAGAAGTGGGGGAGTCGATTCTTTTTATGGTGTGTAATTACTAGCTACACGCTGAACGTTTTCTTTTCTGTGTGCTTAATGTCAATTAGTCGAGTTTCAAGAATGTATTGATCAGGAATGTAACCTCTACCTAATCCATCACTGGAAAACGTCCTGACACTAATGAAGATAATCCTACTTTTGTATTTTGTTATTAGTAAGTTCAAGATAATATCTGAAACTCTTATTAATTTAAAATGAAGATTAATCTGGAGTTCGTTAGCATTGATTGAAGGATGAACTTGTAACAAATAGTTGATATATATATATTAGCCTAATATTTGTTTAAAACAGACTGAAGTGATTCATTTTTTGAATCTCTAGGAATTTTAATTAGTTTCAGCAAAAATTTTGTCACGAACAACTATTAAGTAAGCTTTGGTCATAAACGATTCAACGACTAGGATCCGTTCGTGATGGAACCTGAATTGAAACTAAAGTAATTATAAATAATCTGCTGTTCGATTTGTATATAATTTTAATGAATTCCAAGTATAGGGTCCTTTTCTCCAACTCAAACAGAGTTCAGTGGGGATATGCCTCTGTAGCTCTACATTCTTATAGGAACTCAAGGGATGAATTATATATATATATATATTAGTTAGCCTCAGAATGGTAAATAATATAAGTTCTTCATCATCGGCTCTATACTAATATGTGGTTTTGTTTACATCAAAACGGTACAACTTATATAGCTATTTTAGTCCTTAAGGTTTATTAGCTTTAGGTGTAGTTGACGGGGGTGGGGTGAAAATAAGAGATTAAAAATCATCCAAACAATTAACTAGTAGATGTTAGCAACAAGTTATCACATAATTAAGAAATTTGTAAAGTAATGATGACTAAGAAAAATAGAATAGCTGAGTAGAATTGAGGGACAGTACCAGTACGATCAGGCGATTTGATTTGACAAAGGTTCGAATGAAGCTATACATGGCTCAATACTAGCTCATCTCGCCAATAGTGAACATTAGGTTGACTCTAACAAAGCTTTTAAAGCTATCCATCGTATTTCACCCAGCCTGTAGCATGTTCTACGGGTACGACTTCTACATACAGCAGAAGTAATCGGAATTCATCTGAACAAGCCAAACATATGTGTTCAAAAGAAATTCGTGCAGCCCTTTTCTTCGCCTTGGCCAACTACATAATAATTATTCAGTATTACAAACGACATTCCTTTATAACTACTATTTACCTTTTTTTTTAAATTATTATAACATCAGTTCTAGCTAATTCAATTAACTTCTTTGTATTTTACGCAATTCTACTTAGTCATTCTATTCTTCTTAGTCATCATTATTTTACAAATCTCTTCGTTGTATAATATCTTGTTGCTAACGCCTATGAATTAACTGATCTTGAATTCCATAATTATTTTTACCCCTTCTTCAAAACTCCGATATCTTGTTACTAACATCTGCTAGTTAGTTGTTTGTTATGACTTTTATTATTTCAATTTCACCTCACCCCCCCGCAGACTACACCTCACAGTGATAACTCTTATGGACTAAAATAACTATATGAGTAGTACCGTTTTGATTTAAACAAAACTTAATATTTGTACAGAGTGGATGATGAGGAACTAATTAAAAAGGAATATATTTATGCGCTCATTTTGTTGTCGTTTTTTAAATGTTCAAATAGGAATCTTCAAATAATATAAGTGTGTAGTTCTAAACATGTCTATCAAATATGCAGTTACACCGCTGCTTTAAATAACATAACACTGCTTAATATTATGATGTTATGGAGCCCCAATACTATATGCTATAGGTGAAGGACTCGCAAGTTAATTCTCTTTTACCAGTACTCACTAACATGGATTAGACAGTGTGCTTGCAAATTCATTGTAGTCAGTGGCAAATGAAGTCGAAATGAGACTCCATCTGATATAAGTATAAAACTTGGGCAATGTTATAGAGCATAACTCCATTTTAGATAAGATTTTATTTTGATAAAATCACACAGTGTTATACAGTAATGTTAACTGATGACGTTTTGAGCACAAACTATTACTCATAGCCATCTGGTTACACCAGCATCCCACTAACGGCTACCAACATGCAAGAAAGTCAGATTGGAGACTTCTTGCCGACCGAACAGTTTTGATATGTATTCAATATGTATTTATATATGCCTCATAAAGATCAAAATAATAATACAGTCACTTTTCTTAACAACAAAAAAAATTTAGCTTCCACCGCCAAGAATTGTAGTAATTGGACCAACCGGTACTGGCAAGTCATTACACAGTCGTCAAATCGCCTTGAACTTAAATCTTGTTCATATTGACTTTTCAAGTTTACTACAAGAAATTATATTTCCTAAATTTGGTCGAAAAATTGGTAAACAATACGTGGATCACGAGCCGATACCTGACGTTGTACTGCCGCCGTAAGTGAACATAAAATTCAAACTTATTTTACCTTGGCTTTTGCATTTCTGTGTCATATATATCCTGTATTATTATATTATTATTTTTATTATTGTTCCCTTGGGTTCCTAGTAGAACATAGGGCTTCAACTGCACGTCTCCATTTTATTCTGTCTTCTGCTGTACTTTTCACCTGCATCCATGTTAGTCCATACTCTTTCAACTCCTCTTCACACGATCTCCTCCATGTCACCCTTGGACGTCCCACACGCCGCTTCCCTTTCGGGTTCCACTCGAGGGCTTGACGCGCGATGTCACCCAGCGGTCTCCTCAGCGAGTGTCCGATCCATCTCCACTTTCTCCTGCATATTTGTTGTTGGCGATTGGTTCTTGCTTTGTTTGTTCCCATAATTCCTTGTTGGTGATTCTTTCCGGCCGGCCATCTGATCTTCAGTATAGAGCGAAGACAGTTGTTAATAAAGGTCTGCAACCTTTTGGAAATATTCTTTGTGACCCACCCGCCAAGTTTCTGATCCGTATAGAAGAACTGACTTTACGTTTGTATTGAAAATCCGAATTTTGTTGGTGATGCTGAGTGACGAAGATTTCCAGATTGATTTCAGGTTGATGAATGTGTTTCTCGCCTTCCCGATTCTCGCTCGATTTGACATCCTCGTCCGTTCCTCCTGTAGTTGAGACAATGCTCCCTAGATAAGTGTGAATGAAGTAACCTCTTTCAAATCCCTCCCGTTGATGGTGATTGATGCTGGATGTTGTTGTGTTGGTTGGTTATTTTCATAACCTCCGTCTTGTCTATGTTTACCTGGAGTCCTGTCTTTGCCGGCTGCTTCTTCGACCAGTTTGTCGGTTTTCGCTTGTAAGTCTTCGATTGTGTGTGACATCAAACATAAATCATCCCCGCGCGAAATCCAGGTCTTCTAGGTTCTTCACGTCGGTCCAGGATATTCCTGTCTTCTCGTTTCCCACTGTCTGACGCATAATCCAGTCCACCACAATTAGGAATATCATTGGTGATAGATAAGCACCCTTGTCTGACTCCTGTGTTTACTCCAAACGCCTCGCTGAGTTTTCCGTTGTGGATCACTTGACATGTGCCGTTGTCGTACAGCTGTTGAATAAGGTTGATGAATATTTGGGGTACGCCATAGTACTCGAGTAATTTCCAAATTACTTCACGGTCAACGCTGTCGAAGGCCTTCTCAAAGTCTATAAAGTTGAGGTAGAGGTTTGATTGCCATTCCATGCTTTGTTCTGTGATGATGATGCGTAGAGTTGCAATTTGGTCAGTACATGATTTGCCTTTCCTGAATCCAGCTTGTTCTGGTCGGAGTTCTGTCTCCAGTGCGTCCTTTAATCTCTCCAGGATGATGCGACTCAGGATTTTACTTGGCGTCGATAGGAGCATGATTCCTCGCCAGTTCTTGCAGAGTCCTAAGTCGCCCTTCTTTGGTAGTTTCACGAGGTAACCTTTCCTCCAGTCAGTAGGCACCTTTCCCTCCTTCCAGACCTTTTGCAATAATGGAGTCAGCATGTCTGCTGTCGTCTCTGGGTCTGCTTTCAGTGCTTCAGGGGGTATTCCATCTGGTCCGGCTGCTTTTCCAGCTTTCAGAAGTTTGATTGCATTCAAGACTTCAGCTCTCGTTGGAGGATTGGTGTCAACTTGCAGTTGTGTGTGCGCTGTTGTTGGTATTTCTGGACGGGTTGCAGGTGATGGTCGGTTCAAGAGTCCTTTGAAGTGATCCGCCCATTGTTTAATCTGTTTTTCTTCCTTGGTAATTGGGTTCCCTTGGCTGTCTTTTATAGGTTTCGCTTGTGTTGATCTCTTCCCGGATAGAGATTTGGTTATCTGATATAGTGTCCTCAGGTCCCTTTTGCCTGCTGCCTTCTCAGCTTCAGTGGCGAGGTTGTCGTAGAATCGTCTTTTGTCCTTCCTAGCACTTTTCTTCACTTCTTTGTCCAATGCTTTGTAAGTTGAGCTCATCGTCTCCTTCTCCTGTCCGTCCTTGCATTGAATCATTTTCTCTTTCACCATTCTCCTCTCTTCTATTAATTTCCAAGTGTCCGTTGAGAGCCATTCCTTGTCTTGTCTCTTCTTTCTTCCTAGAACCGTTGAACACGTTTCGTTGAGAATCGCCTTCAGAGACTTCCAATGTTCTTCCACGCATGATTCTTCAGTGATGTCGCGTAGTGTTTCCTGCTTTGCTCTGACAGTTGCAGTGAAGGTGTCTTTTGTGGTTGTGTCCTTCAGTAATTGAGTGTTGAACTTGCATTGTGGCCTATCCCCAGCTATCCTCGAGGCTTTTAGTTTCACCTTGAAAGTCCCTTGTACTAGATAGTGGTCTGAACCCACATCTGCTCCTCTCCTTGACCTTGTGTCCAGTAGGCTCCGTCTCCACTTTCTTGAAATTGAGATGAAGTCTATTTGGTTCTTGGTGTTTCCATCTGGTGAAATCCATGTCGTCTTGTGTATATCCTTGTGTTTGAACACACTACCACCAATCACCAAATCATTGAAGGCGCAGAAGTCTGAGAAGAGTTCACCATTGTCGTTCATTTCACCGAGGGCCTCACGACCCATGGTGAGTTCTCTTCCTGTGTTGTCTCGTCCCAGCTTCGCATTCATGTCGCCCATCAGGATTTTGATATCGCCATTTGGGACGTTGTCCATTATTGCTTGTAGTTGTCTGTAGAACGCCTCCTTCTTCTCTTGTTCTGAGACGTTTGTAGGCGCATAGCATTGAATGACTGTAACTTTCCTTCCTTTTGAGTTGAACCTGGCTGTCATTATCCTGGAGGAGATTGGTTCCCACTGCATGAGAGCTTTGGTTGCTGTTGGTGACATCATGATGGCCACTCCCTCGGTGTGCTCATGGTTGTCCTCTAGGTGGCCGGAAAAGATTACTGTCTCTCCAGTAGGTAGTTGGCACCTTCCAGTTCCGTTCCATCTGCTTTCGCAGATTCCCAACACTTCTATTCTGTACCTTCTCATTTCAGCGGCTATCTGGGCAGCCTTTCCAGTTTCGTACATTGTACGAACATTCCAGGTACCCATCCTTACTTTTGCTTTCATCGAAAGAAGGCACATCGGCTGACTGGCTTCCCGAAGGCTTTCACCAGCCTGCGTCATTTCACTTCTCCGATTCCAGCGAAAAGTAAGGCTATTGCTTATGTTTTTAGAATTTTTAATATATTTATTCGTTGAAGTTTCTGTAGCGATTTGGTTGTTTTACAGGGGTGGAGTTGCTAGCACCACGCCCCAACCCTCCCTCTTTACCCGGGCTTGGGACTGGCTAGAAAACTAGTAAGCTAGTAGCCTAGGAAGCTAGTATCTGGCGAGGTTTATATATCCTGTAAGACTAAGTGAATTCTTGTGTAATAAAATGAGAAAACAGAAACCGTAAATACCACATTTGGCAACAATGGAAATTTGTAGAACATTATGAAACATTAATCGACTGAAGAATGAATCACAAATGAGAACCTCAAGTACTAGGGTATTTATGCCACTGATATCCAATTATTCACCATGATAATCTATTGATTACTATATGAGATCTACTCATTACTGATCAGTAAACATTACTGTACAACACTGTGAGACTTTATCAAAACAAAATTTACCCGTAATGGAATGAAAGGGAAAGGTTAAACCATCACAGCCGAAATCACGGCTATGTCTATTAACTAATCAGAATTCAGGCGCAAAAAAGTCGCATAATCGTTTCTAGAAAATATATTAAAAACGCTCCAAACATGATAGTAAACTAGATAATGGTCTCTAATGTGTTGCAGAAATGTCTTCCAGTTTCTGCATTGATAATCCGCAGAGAAATTGCACCACATCCGATACAGGCATTCATCAAGGTGAATGTAAATCATGTTACCTTAGTAATGCAGCTACCCTCACGGACCGATTTTCTGTTGTAAAATGAATTACATTTCTACTAGCATTTATCTCCCACAAGGCTGGAGTGCCTTACTGCCATAGCCTTCCACAACACACACAAGTCCTTGTTACTGCAATTAATCCGTTTTTGACACAGTAGTTAAATGCTGGATCTTCATAATACTCATTAACCCACTCCATAAAAGTAGGTGTGATTTCTATTTTTAACGACCCTCCGAAGCTTCTTATGTAAATCTGTTTGGTTCTTTAGGGTGAACTTCGGTAAACCTCGATAGTTTTTTTGCCCAAAAAATATATGACATGTTTTATCATCGTTTTAAATGGCTCATTTGGTATATTGCTAGCCAACCACCTCAATTTCTACTGGAACACAGATTTTCATTCTAATTGCAATCGTAATCCAATTAGGAAAACAATAATCTATGGATATAAAGTTAATTTATCTGTTTTCAGTTATAATTTACTAAATATGTTTATCCATTTTATTAAAATTTCCCAATTATTTCCCAAATTATTTATCAATAGGCTGTGAACATTTATTTCGCAATTTTCACTTATTTGTGCCTTACTTTCTATTTAGTTTGCTGTATTATAGTTGTAAGGAGATTTGGGACGTGGGTTTAGGTAGCCTACTTTCAACCAGTGGGTCCTGAATTCGAACCGTGTGCCTTCCACTTCAGCTTCGAAAGCTGTTTAGTATCAGAAGTTCCAACACAATAATGCGAATAATACTTGTAACCTATTTGGCGCAAATGATCTATAACAAATCGACTGTTTACAAGTGAATTGGAGTGGATTAGGAAAGCTGTCATTTAATAAAAGCAATAAATATCAGGTTCACTGGCAGTAAATTCAAGCAGTATATTATGTTTCTTGTCACCAACACTTTTGAAAAATGTACTACTTTCGTTTTTTCCTCTGATAGTCTCGAAGAAACAACTGATGAGGTTGAAGAAGGCCAGGCTAAGTTACAAAGTCAAGAAACAGATAGATCCAATATAAAAGCAGACAATGCATCTAAAGAGAATGAATCAGAACAACCACCTGTAATGGATGAACATGAAACAAATATTTCAGAATACCTGTTAAATTCAACACAGTTACCGAATGAAACTTTGGAATGGTTACTGGGAAAACTTTGGAAACAAGAACCTTATAAATCTATAGGCTTTATACTGGATGGCTTTCCACAGACTACTGAAGACTTACAATTTTTAATTACATCAAATTATTTCTTCGATTGTGCTGTATTTTTAAATACTGAAGTTGACGAAGTTGTCTCTAGACTATTGCCGCCCAGGCTAGAAGCCTGGCGTAAACGAATGGCAAAAAAGGCTGAGAATGCGAGTAAACTAAAAGAATGGAAAGCTGCAAAAAAGGTTTGTAACATTAAAAATGGCATATTTTCTGTTTTACACCAGCTGACCTAGACCAGTACAACAGCATAGGGTCTCTTGTTTTTTCTACGGAAGTGTAATAACTAATACCAACATACCTCCAAGCATCATGAGAATAAAACATATTGTTGAGTGATATTATAATCTGAAAGAAGGACTTGAATGAAGGTAAATGATATATGTGCAATTTTCAAATATTTCGGAGAGTAACAGAGTCAAAAACAGGTTTGACCACGAGCTGACATCAGTCAGCTGACATCACAAGCCATATGTCGTAAGTTGTCAGAAGTTGAAATTTATAGGTCATTGTATGGGATGCCAGAAACTGAATGGACTACAAGCTTGTCTTGTAACAGGAAGGTTCTATATTCGAACTCCGAGTACTGAAAATAGGACAAAACAGGTGTTCAATACTCCGAATATTTCTCTAACTGATATTGACACATGACCAGACCTGTAACCAATGAAATCCCTGCCAACATTTGAAAATTTCCGTTATAGTACTAATTATAAGGCATTTAATGTAGACTTTTCAGTTATTTTATTTCAATCAATTGCTTCTTTGACTAGGAATAATATCCATTGACACTCGAATGGTATCGTAGAACACTTATTGCCCACTTTTTTATATGACTTATGACAACTTTTTCACGAGGTATCTGATAATACACTAGTGCACAGCTGAGTTTTTCTTCTTACTTCACCTTTTAAGCATGATTTCATTCGCTGTTGATTAATACTCCTTGCTCCTGTATGCAGATGGGCAGAAGTTTAAAAGATGATTGGTTATTAAATCTATGAAAAGATGAACCTAGGCAGTTGCCATTGCAATTAAGTTGTTGTTAAAGGCTACCAATCATAACACCAGTGAAATAATCAATACGCATGTATACATCAGTAGTAATATGAGATTTTATCAAATGTAAATTGTAAACCACTATCTACAAAAAAAGAGAAGAGTCTACAGAATTTCGATGCCACTATTTCGATTACATGCACAATATTCAATCGCATCACCAATTCTTTAACTAGAATGGAATATGGCTGACTAATAGTAGTAGATTAGGTGAAGTCTATGTGAACTAGAGACCGAAGAGTTATTGTCTATCGTGAGGTAATATGAATATAATCGATAAAAATCTGTTACATTATTCAAGAAATCCTATTATTTGCTGATCAGTCTCCTGACCACCGATGTAAAGACAAATCAAATGATAGGTTAAACAATGAATGCTACTCGTTCGTTGAGTAGTATATAACTTTTATTAAATAAAGATTTAAAGTAAACCAAAATGAAATGAATTTAATCCCTCCAACAATGTTTACTGTTCTTGCTATAAATATCAATGAACCGAGAACGTGATCTTCGCCTATTCACAATTCCAGCTAGATAAAGCCACCAGTAGTGAAGTATGCCTAACTGTTTTACCGAAAGATTAATATTAGTCTGATGGAGCTATTCACCTCATTTTTAGCCTTCTAATATTTCTTACACATATATTAAAGTAAATAATTGAGCTTTCAGTAAAAAAAAAATAACCTTATTTTTTCTCCTAGAAATTAGCGATGGAAAAAAGACGAGCAGAAATTTTGAAGGAGTTACAAGAGAAAAGAGAAAATGCAAGGGTAAGATACATTTTGGTGATCAAAAAAACAAAATCCACTAATCTATTCACGTAGTCTTCATAAAAAACCAAGTCAAAACTTTAACGAAAAGTGTCTCCTGGATCACATTCGCTGTGGGACATAGTCTAACGTATACGGACGAAACCAGAGTAGCCACTCTTCCTACATCTTCTTTTTCTCAAAACATCACTTAAAAATTTAAAGAGATGGTATATCTGTTCGTAGTATCGTATTAAGTATTGAGATGCTAAAGTGTAAACTGACTACTCCCTGAAACTAAAACTTTTTCATTGGAGTTTTAAAGACCGGCATAGTTGTAGTCTTAAATGCTTTGCTTAGAGAGAAAAAAAAGTACTTCTTTATTAGATAATGAACATGATAAATTCACAATTCGTCGGTTAATTTACTATTTGCAATTTACATTGTTCAATACACTTTCCTTTAAAAAGTGAAATCATTCGGAACATTTATTATTTATTGTAATCATTTATTCCATGCATTCCTAGTGGACCAAAGAGCTTCAGTAGCAGCAACTATCCAATCTGAGCTGATATCTAACATCTTTTCTTCAAGTTATCTACATGACTGTCAATGAACTTTTATTTCCTCTTCACACGACCTTGTTCATATCACCCTTGGACGTACGGTCAACTCGTCGTTTCTCAGATGAGTTCCGCTCAGAAGCCTGGTGTGTGACGCCACTTGAACGTCTTATTTAATAACAGTTTGTAACAACTGATTAGCTTTCAAACTCCCTTGTTGCTTACATATATCTTTCCCAACCAGTTGGTCATCTGATCTGAGCCAACAAATGAGATTATGAAGATATATAGTAGGCTGTTGGAAATGCTTCTGATAACGTGAACATGACAAGTCTGTGGAGCATATAGAAGTAATAACTTGACATTATTGTTGAAAACATAGGTGCTGTTCCTTGTCCTAAGTGTTGTAAACCTCTACACTGATTCTAAAGTAGTGAATGCTTATCTTTCTTTCTGGATTCGAGCCTGCCTGGTTTCCCTAGACAATCTCATCTGTTTGAAATGACGCTGGTGACAGAAGTGAAGGAGACAACTTTCTTTTAGATATCTTCTAATGATATTGATAGGTGCACAGAAGTATATTGTATGGAAATTCAGGCAGTCTAGTGACTTAAGCATGCCACCGTGTGTTCACTACTGGTTAAATTTGAGGGACATTTCACACCAAATAAAGAAAGTAATTATGTCGTACATTATTCATAGGCTGTTTGGCTATATCAGTGTACCAACGGGGCGTATTTAGCGCTGAGGAGGCTATTTCATAATAATTCAACTAATCCTGGAGTAGATTTCGTCACAAAAGTGAAAAATCAATAAAAATCAAGCAAACTAAATGGGTATTTAAGTATTGGTTTGTAGGTATGTGGTTGATTGGTTACAGGATTTCATCATGAGCTGAGATTGGTTGCGCTATATCGTGAATTGACAGAAGTTAGAATTCATGGGCCATTAGATCGGGGCCCAGTGGCTTAATGGTCTACGAGCTCGCCTTGTAACCAGAAGGTCTTGGGTTCGAACTCCGGTGGGTGCGTACTGCTGAAGGGTCCCAAACTAGGACGAAACAGCTGTCCAATACTCCCAGGTTTTCCAATGGTTATCTAACCAATGTTAGCTCATGATGAAATGCTGTAACCAATAAATGGGTATTTAGTGTTGGTCTGACATTTTCGGTTTTAACAAATCCACTTATCCGAAGTGCATCGGATCTAAAGTTCCAAGGTAAATAAGTTACTTGTGGATTGTTTGTTCTGCTTCAGACAACTGATAATATGATAGGAATACATGATGACATGGAGTATGTCAGTTCAATAAAAACCATCGAAAGGGAATTCAAACGCTTCAACAGATGACAACTGATACCAAATAAACAGGAAGGGTACTGTCATAGCTTACTAGCCTACTGGATGGTGCTTAACGTGTAAGACTATAGGTATTGATATTAAGTCTCAGTGTGAACAACGTCAATCGCTTGAATACAACTGACGAGTCTTAAATCTGATAGGATATGCGTCCTCAGTCCATCTACTGACCATCAGTAGTAGTTCATTAGAACAATCACACAGTGCGGGTTTTTAATTAGTGGTTTCTAACTTATCACAGACCATTTCATTGATGATTATCCATACCATTTTCGTTCACCTTTAATCCGGTTTATAGATGAAAGAAAGCACTGAAGATGGTGACACTGAAGAAGATGAAGAGTTGGAGGATGAAGTGAATATTGACGAAATGTTGGCAGAAGATTTTGCGGTCAGTTCACCCTACTTATATAATTTCTGTTTTGATATATTGTAATGTATGATCGTTTTGCAGTTTTTGTAAAATCTATGTTTTAATACTTCGAACCTATATAAAATACTTCAGCCATTTGTTATGTTGAGATCGTAAGTTTAATAAGCTACTTACTAACCGATTATTCGTTATTTCAGGCTTCTATATGGTTTATATATGTTCAAACCAAATTCACTTTTAACAGTTTGAAAAACGTTCGGGGATTGGGTATATGATATTCATTATAATAAAGGCTTTTATATTTTCCAATAAATGAATAGGAATGATGGACTAAAACAGAATCTGACCTGGTTACAACACCTCCCTCACCATGAAATGACAGAAGCAACACGAATGTGATAAGCAATTTCATTATGTAAACACACACTTTTTTATAATTTTACACACTTATCAAATCCAACAATCTACACCTGGTTTTGTTATCTTTACCAATTGGCCAATTTAACGATGAAAAATGACCACATGCTGAGGAACGATGATTAAGTTGTTATATATAAACTTAGGTTTTGTAAATTCTGGTTTAATAATACTTTGATAAAGTTATTAGCATTAAATAGGGAAAGGTCAGTAAAACCAATATTGTTTTTTTTTATGAATTGGGAAATACAAGTAAACCTTTATTATACTGTACTGACGTCTATTTCTGTACAAACATGTAACAAAATCATTAAAAACCAAGAAGCACTACACAGCCGTTTTGTCCCACTTCGGAAGTAATCACAAGTATTCAGCGAGTTCTGCTCTTAACGGATGTTGATTATTGGGAGTAAACCTTCACCTTATTCTTTTCATTTCATTTGTTTTGATAAACATATAAAACAGCTATTACATCAGCTTTATGTGTTTGGTTTTTAAATGAGAAAATAAAGAAGATGAACAAGTCTCAGTTAGATTAATTGTCTGTGAATATTAAAAACCTTGATTCAGTATCAACTTGAGGCTAGTATTCATTGACTTAGCTCGGAGGGAACATGTGAAAACTTCGACTCTTTTGTCACTACACTTACGAAACGATGTTCCTTTATGTTTGTGTTAAGTCAGTTGAAGTGACGAATTAAAATCGATTCAGCGTTTCTTTTAAATAAGAGATCAACGAGTTAGTAGGGTGTCACAGATACTGAAGTACAGGACAACATACCTTTATTTTATCTGGATTTCCCTAATTATTTGTATCTGACATCTCACAAACTCGAAGATTCACAAGCAGAAACCATGAATTTCACAAAAGAAACAGTAGACAGCAAACTTCAGGTGAATTAGAGAAGACTCAACTCAACCACAACAACAAACACCAGTCTGTATAACCAATGGGAGAAACTTGACGGAAGCCACCTCTTACACTTAGCTGGATAGCATCATTTCAATTACAGACAGCACAATAGATGAGAATGTTTAGGCCGACCAGTCACGATCGCATTGAGAAAACTAGAGAGGAATTTATTTATCTGAAACCAGTATGAAAATTTACATCATTTTAATTACCCCAAGGAATAACATCCGAATTTTTGACACCGAAATCAATTTAGTAATGTACTTCAGCAACTTGGCGCGCGGGTCACTGAAAGTGTTTCCAGCAGCCTGCTGCATATTGTCATTAACAGATATCTATATTTGCTTGATTATGAAGATTAGACTGGCAGCTGGTCGGAAAGCAATAGGGGGAGATGGGATAATCGTTGGATTGGTTGTGGGTCTGAGGGTGGTGCAGAGGGGATAATTTCAAGTGGAAATGAAATCTTGTGGGCCTCGGTGAATTTAATCAAAAGTAATGGTAGAGAATTGATCCCGATGAAGATTTTCTTTGTTCCACTTTAAACGTAGAGAAGGAATAATAATAACAACAGTATTAATGACTGATTTCGGCAGCATATGTCGTTACGCTCTATGCTTATCTTTTCTGGATTGTTGCTTATGTTACCAAGCAGATCACATGACATGATGTAAATATTTATTTGGTTTCCTTTGGATACCAAGAAGTTCTTTTGGTAAATGCATTAAATAATAACATTTATAATTCTTGAAGTAATGTCACATTCCTTCAAGTTGTAGATATTTCTCTTAATGAAATATCAGAAAGCATAGAATTACATGAACGACTCTATATTTTGCTTAGTTTTATGAAATAAACACAAACACTTGACAGCTACTCGATTGATGGTTGCAAGAAGTAGACTCGTCAGCTGGATCTATCTTCATCGCAGTGAATAATGAAATTCCTACTGAGATTTGAACACAGCAAACATCGATTCAAATACCAGAACATTACACAGTAAGCTAGTGAGCCAGGAGATTCACCTCATGTACAACATTCCCATGAAACCGACCAACAAGGCATTCCAATAAATACCACTTAGTGGAGGAAATTGTAGCTAGAGTGGATGATTTTGATTTAGTTGTGTTCCAGGAGCCAGGTGGCTTAATTCTGAAGTTTTCATTGTCTTTTTAGGCAAAAGTTTTGGCGCTTTCTTTCAACTGTTTTGTAATGTGCGACATCTTTACTGGTTGACAGATTTAATCTTTGTTAGTATGCATGTTACCAGAAATTGATCTGAATATCATGCTTACACGTTTTCAGCGGTGTTCGTAACAAATCCACTGTTAGCTCAAGTCTAGTAATTATCTGATAAAATCTTGAAGGTATCTATTTTTCTCTAAGCCAGGTATTAGACAATTTTCTTTAGTTCTGCTCAGGAGACTTTATAGAAACCAAATTAATTAACGAACATAGATAAATAGTCGAATTCCAGGTCAATGAAAAGATAAATACTAGTGCAGCTGCACAATTCACACAGAACTAAGAAAACCTGGCATCACATTAAAGAAAGCTCTGGAGATGTTGTCTAGACAGACAATAGAAGATTCACAATTAAATCGTCCAGCTTAAAGAATACGTGCTTGTCAACCATGTGGGAGGTCTGTTTTCGATGCCCTGACAACAAACTCGTAAATTTTGTCCAGTCTACTAACTGACAGTAAGGCACGATAAGAAGGAAAGTTTGGTGTGTGGTGAGCGACCCCATCCAGCAAAAATGACATCACCACAACTAAAACCTCAAACCTCGAATCTTGAAGGCTCATGCTGGAATTGAAATTCAAGCAAAGAGAATAAGACGATTAAATTATCGATCACCAGTATGGATTTAATAAGAAGAGTTAACAAGGCGTTGTTCACATACATATTGTTAAAAAACACTTGCATTTCTTTCTATATGAAGACTATATATTTTTGAAATTCTTAATATAATAAGGATTATAAAGAAAAGAAAAAAACAGTCTTTATTTTTCTTGTATAGCAAAGGCAATACTGAAATTTATGCCTACTGAACGTGTTTAAATGGATTTTACTCTCATTTTCTGAAATCTTTTTTAAATACAAGACAGTGCCACATTCTGTTTCATGCTGTAAGAATAAATCGTTTAAAAAAAGCAAACAAGACTGATAGGAGGAAAACAACGGAAAGAACACAGACAATTATAGAAAAATAAATGAATAAACTAAATAATGAGCATAAAATTGTTCTTACACCAGTAAATCCCCGACTAATTTTGACAAAAGAATTGACAACTAGGATAATAACATGTATTTATTTTCCTTTGTAATCTGTATAAATGGTGTCTGTCTCAACGAATGTGATATTTGTGGTTTGTATACCAGACCGCTATATCAGATAACCAAGTCTTTATCTAATAAACGATCGATTCAGGTGAAACCTAAACAAAATGGTGAAGGGAACCTAAATACCAAAGCGGAGAGACAAATGAAATAATCGGCTGGTTACTTCGCAGAACTCCTGAATCGACCATTATCGCCTGAAACTCGTGCAGAAATACCAGCAACACTACGCATAGAATTGCTTTCTAGTGGACACCTGTCCCTCCAAAAGGCGGAAATCTTGAATTCAGTCATACAACGAAGTCCGGGAAGGCAGCAGGATCAGACAGAATTCTCCCTCCCCCCACCCTTAAAACAGACCCAGAAACTGTGGCAGATGTTCTCATGCCATTATTGTTAAAGGTTTGGAGGGAAGGAAAGGTGCCTACTGACTAAAAGAAAGGCTACCTTGTAAGGCTACCAAAGAAGGGCAACTTACGCCTCTGCAAAAACTGGCATGTAATAATGCTTTTGTCCACGCGAAATAAAATACTAATTCGCATCATCCTGGAGAGAATAAAGGATGCCTTGGATACAGAACTCCGCCTCAATGACCAGGATAAGCTGGATTTAGGAGAGTCAAATCATGTGCTGATCAAATTGCAGCTCCACGCAGCGTCATCAAACAAAGCATAAAATTGCAGTCAAACCTCTACTCCAACTTCATCGACTTTGGAAAAGTACTTGACAGCGCTGAATGGCGTGCTCCATTTCTTTATCAACCTCATTCAGCTGTTGGCTTTATGAAAATTCCACATGTCGGGTGATCCACAACGGGAAACTCAGTGAGGCGTTAGAAGTGAAGACGGGAAGGAGCAAGACAAGACTGCCTATTATCACCGATGGTATTCCTAATTGTGGTGGACTGGATTATTCGGCAAACTGCATATCTAGGGAGTGAGAAGACAGGCGTACGCTGGACCGCCGGTAAGAAGACTCTAGAAGATCTAATTTTGCAGATGTTATATGTCTAATGTCACACAAACTCGATGACTTGCAGGCGAAAGCCAGCAAACTGGCTGACGAGGTTAGCAGTGAAGACGTGACTCTAGGTGGACATAGAGTAGACGGAAGTGATGAAGGTAACCAACATACAGCAACAATACCCAACACCAATTAATATCAGCGAGAAGTATTTGACAGAGTTTACATTTTTCACTTATCTGGGGAGCATCGTTTCAACCACAGGAATTCGGAACGGATAAAAGTGTCATAGTCAGACTGGGAAAGGTGAAATACGCCTTCACCAACCTGAAACCAGCTTGGAAATCTTCTGCACTGAGCATGAGGAACAAGATTCGCATTTTCAACACTGTAGGGGTCAGACACTTAGCTGGCACATCATGAGAGGCATTTCTAACAGGTTAGGGAATATTTTACCAACAGCTGCCTTCGGCACCTCCTTACTGAAGATCAAATGGTCAGCTGGTTAGAAAGAATGAGTGACCAGAAACTATGCCTGAGAACGAACCAACCAAGAGCCAGTCGCTCAACTTATATATGGGAGAAAATGGAGATCATCGCATGATATCGCGCGCCAGGCCATCACCACAGTAGAGTCCAGATGGGAGCCAACAAGAGTGTTGTCCTAGAGTGACATGGAGGAGATCATGCGAGGTGAAAATGACAGATTATCGTCAATCGTGGTCGAAGAAACTGGAAATGTGTTGTTGAAGTCCTATGTTACCTACGGAACCCAAGGGAACAATAATAATAATAATGCCAGACTGCGGTAGACTATGTAAGGGTTCACAAATACTGATGCCTACAAAGATTTTTGTAGTATAACTAAGAAATTAAGAACACAATATTCAGTGAAGACACTTTTCAACGAATTTATTATTAAGCTGTACAATCGTGTATATATATATATGGGTTTTTTAAGAAATTATATCCGACGAGGGAATTGGGTCAAAGGTGTGAATACATCAAATAATAATAATATGAAATGCAATTAAAATATTTGTGATTATAGTCATGGTTTATTGTCAAGTGGCAAAATAATTAATGTCCTATATAGAATAATAAATAAGGTGTATAGATTTTGGAAAGGGGTACATAATTATAAGATTAGTAGACGACTATAAAATGTTGCATAACATGGTTTAGAATGACAAGTGGGTCAAGTGGAAAAAAACTCCAAATTATTCATTTTTATATTTATTTTTATAATATTGAATTCTATCTTATCAAATTTCACACCATGTTATGCAGCATTTCATAGTCGTCTACTAATCTTATAATTATGTACCCCTTTCCAAAATCTATACACCTTATTTATTATTCTATATATAACATTAATTATTTTGCCACCTGACAATAAACCATGATTATAATCACAAATATTTTAATTGCATTTCATACTATTATTATTTCATGTGCGTCGGTAGCACAGTGGTTAGGACTCTCGCTGACCATGCACATGATCCGAGGTTCGATCCCCTGCCGACGCACACCTGATATCTATGGTCGGCCTGCAAAATTTGGCCTATCGATATCCATGCTGAAACTTCCATGCTTGTACCAAAAATACGGTATGGAATCAAGCTGTAATCAAAAATTTTAAAAAATATTCACACCTTTGACCCTATTCCCTCACCGGATATAATTTCTTAAAAAACCCATATATATATATATATATATATATATATATATATATATATACGATTATACAGCTTGGTAATAAATTCGTTGAAAAGAGTCTCTTCGTTGAATATTGTATTCTTAATGCTACAATGGGAATTATTAAATAACTAAAAATGTCTTTCCTTGAGCTTCCAAATGATACGTAGAAATTTAGTAGCAAATTTTAACTTTTCACAGTCTTCTGTAGTCTCTTTAACCGTACTCCACGTTTGTCCATAGCCGTCTCCTTACACGATCTCGTACATGTCATCATTGGACGCATGTTCAACTAGTTGATTTCCGTCAGGTTTCAACTCAAGGGCATGTTAAGTGATTTCACTCAATGGTCTCCTCAATATATGTCCAGTCCATCTGCATTTGTTTTCGCGAGTTTTTTGAGTGATGGATTCTTGGTTGATTTGTTATCGAAGTTCTTTGTTGCTAATTTTTTCTGGCCATCTAACTTTCAGTATCGTGTAAACAATGGCACCTTTTGATAATTCTTATGTTTGGATAATCTGACTATCCCCCATCTACTGGTTTGACCTATTTATAATTGATCTAACTAACGCTAATTGCAAGGTATTTTGTAAATCTTATTATTTTGTTTTATTGGGTCCAGCGGATACTTTAGCCTACAGAGCTTGTCCCTGAGTGATGTTGTAGGTTTAAATGGCACCCTAATTTCTGCTCTCTTAACAATCCTATTTAAGGTCTCAGTTGTCCGTTTTTATATGGTAGTACTGTAGATGCGTTATATTCACTCTTATTTATGTTACCATTATTAGTTACAACTGTTAATGATTATGAGCAGTAAATTGTGGTCGAAACGTGGTCATTAGTGAATACTGCTTTTTTGATGGTTACTTGATTTTCTTCTATCTGAATATTCTTAGTTTCTGAAACAGAGAACCAGCACGTGTTCGCAACATAAACTGTGTAATTAGCTAATGAGGAATTTCATTCGGCAACTGTTTATCTTTCTTTCTTTCTTTTAATTCTGAATAACACTTATCTAAACAAGTAATAATCTGAATAGCATAACTATGAAGAAATAAATAAATAAGCCATTCAGTTGACACAATAAACATGTGATAAGTATGAAGTCTACTACAGTGAAAATGATAAACAGGGAACTCTCTTATACAGTACATATAAGCAAAACAGCAAAGCAAGTTTCAGTCATACATTAAGAGCTAACGGGCCAATTCTTACTTAAAATGGATATCATTTTGATATTTGATCATAGAGGTTTCATCACCATGTCTGATAACATCTTTAGCGCCAACCTCATTCCATAAAATAAGTAGCTGATTAAAAAAGCATGCAAAATCTAGTGATGAGATGTAGTCGAACAAATGTTCATATCCTGTGAAGGTTAAACAACTTCATTCCTCTAGCTGAACAACAAAATCTTTCCTGTGTATTATTTTGGCTACCAGAAATATTGTCATAGCTGAAGAGGGAGATTTCCTGCAGTTCTTATAATCTTCGCACAGTTCACAGTTTAACTTTCAGTATTCGATAAATAAACAGAATTGGTTGTGAACATTGCCTCCTATTTTGCTTTTAGAAAAAAGAACTGCTTTTGTTCTTTTTCTTCTTAATAGGAAGAAGAAGATGAAATGGATGCAGAAGAAGAAGAGACTGAAGCAGATGCTATTGAACGGTTAACTGAAGATATTACAGAGTCATTCACAGAGGCTAGTGATGTATTTGGAGAAATTGCTGAACAAATAGAAGAATTATCTATACCTAAATATGAAGTAGATTCTGGTGGAAAAGTAACATGGGCTCGTTATCGAGTTGTTAAAGTGAGCATTGGCATTTACAGTAATAAATGGCTTACTGTAGACAGTGTTTTTTCCTAAACCTGGCTACTTGGGCAGATATACCTCTGTGCAATCTCCTATAGTGATCTAATTGTCAGCTAGATTTTAATCAAATTTATCCATTTGTTAACAATGTATCGTAGTGGAACCAGAAGAAATCAATTTACTCGATGAGTACCCTTAAGATCACAGTTCTTCTGGTCTTAATGCAGTTAACAAGAATACATAACAACTACTTTTTCAATTTTAACTGGTCAGGAAATATGAAATCGTTTTTCAAAACCCCCAGCTACAAAAATCCATACATTCAGTGGAAATTGTGATGATTTTCTCCATTAGACAACCTCGTGAAGTGAGATTTTATGAACGACATATTTTAGAAATCAAATTAAGAAGAGAATTTGACTGATAAATTTGCAATTTCTGAATTTTCTTTATGCATGTGTTAAAGAGATACAATTTCCTTAACTTTATTTTAATTTTCGCCACTAACCAAAACCAGTTAGATACTGTTGGAAACCAAGGAGCACTGGATAGCTGTTTAGTCCGTGTTAGACTATCATCAGCACTACGTACCCATGACCCTAAGGATTGAATCTGATAAACTTGGGTTACGGGGCCTATTTTTTGTTCAGTCAACCACCTTAGTGGGACTTTAGTGATCCTTTAATTCTAACTTCTATCAATCCGTGACTGCGCCATTTTACAGTCGAATTAGGTTCTCGAGAATAAGTATCCAGAATCAAAAAAGAAGCACATGGATTGTACAGGTGATCTTGTATTATTAGAATAACCTGAATTCAGGCAGCCAGTCAATCACATAACAAGCATGTGTATGTATATATCAAACACACGATGTATTTAGTTTTTATAGCAAACTCTAGCGAACTCAAACTCACACAAACACACTAAGAAACGTATAATTATTTATTGTCACATATATGGGAATAAACCATAGAGTTATAATATTGCATATTAATTCATCCTGTGAAACCGTATATAAAATTACAAGGTGAACAAACAAGTCAGTATGACTCATTGATTTATGAATGAATCGATTATGTGACTGTATGAATATTTAAAAATCAGCACAGTGATGTATCACTACCGTCAACCAACGCTTTCACAATCAGCATCCACTTCACACTAATATGGTGGTCCATACTAGTCATGACTTTTCAGTACAGCTTCAGGACAACCATGTAATAGCCACGAGTGGCCTGGAGATAAACACTTAGACGATGAATTTTCGTAAGGCTTTGGATGAAACAGCTTTTCAATGCACCCCAGATTTCCAGCGATCTCTACTCTGAAATTAGCTTGATCCTCTATAAAAAAGTCCATAATAAAATCATCTTTGTTAGTTGCGTAGTTATCAGATGTTAATAGGGTATGAATTTCTAGGCAAAGTACTACTGGACTGCAAATAGATAGCAGATGTTGATAAAATCAGCAAACAAGATTTATCCTACGGGTTTCTGTAGTAGAGTTTAGATTGTTTAACAAGTGAAATTGATTACTAAAATGAGGCGGTTTAAAGTAAACCATGGAGGCACACACTGCGCTGACATTCTAATCTTCCTAGTATCATAAAATTCCTTTTTGTATTTCCTCCAGCTTTTTCTCTTATATCTTTTGTTTGTTTGGAAACTATATTTTTGTAGCTTTGTTACCTTCATGTTAATATACGCAAGTTTAGAAGATATGACATATTGAAACTTGAACTGTAACTCAACAGTTTTAGGCGCCTTGCTGATAATGTCTACATTGTACTCGGAAATATGGTTATTCTCCAACTGAAAAGTCATAGCGATATCAATATTTTTAGTATTAATAAGGGAAGTTTATATCCTGTCCCACTGTCAGTCACAATTATATAATTTGACACTTTTCCGCAGTGTACTGCTATGAGCACAGAAAGGGTTGTTTTTAACACAACTAGGTCTCTTTGCATACATGTTACCTTGAAATACCTCAGGAGGTTGATGTCAACCGCTCACTGTTCTTCGACCTTTGTTGTTTAATCGTGGATGCTTTATCAAGCTTCCTAACACAGCTGATGTTGCCTTCGTTAAGAAGAATACTGAACAAACTATGAATAATTCACTGTTCATCTATTGGGGTGTAATCAAATGACTTACGCTTGCAGGGGAAAAACTGTCCATTTGATGTAACTATGTAGGGGAAACTACTCAGAAAGTATCTTTAATTTAAATTTTGTTGGAAAAACTTAATTATTCCAATTATTCAACCTAACTGTCTATTTGCTTTATAGCGTTTACATAATGTAATTGAAAATCGTAATTCATTATTTGAACGTGTTTATCCAATTACACCGAAAATTGCTGAACGTCTTATAGCAAACGGTTACTGTTTTCCAAGTCGATTTGGTCGTTGGTGTCCAGTTACACTACACTTTCAAGATATTTGGCTTCCACCTGTTCCAATGCCTCCTGTAAAAGTTGGTAATCCAAAATATTTGAGTGTATTACCAGGTATTGTTGGTGAAACACTTCCAGTTAATAAGGCAAAAACCTGTGCAGCTATATATAAACAACACATCTATTGGTTTGCTAATCAAAATGCTCGTACAGTGTTTATGAAAAATCCTTTAAAGTATACTGATGGTCATCCAGATCCACCGTATAGAATACCGTTAAGATTAAATATTTTAGGTGCTCCAAAAACCGGCAAAACAACCAGTAAGTGAAACATTTATTCAACTACGAACAAATACTGTGGTTCATTATGTGAAGTTATTTGTCTAACATATTTCATTTTCATTATTTTTAAGGTGAAGATATACATTAGAGACTAAGGTCAAAAACTTATTAAATGATCTTGAACAAGTAATGCAATGTCTGACATATTAATCGATTACATTATCAACCATGATACCGTGAGACCGTGAACGGAAAGAGTTTTCTAAACAGGTAATCAGAATAAAGTGTAGCTATGCTTAACCTGATTACACGAGTAAAAGGGCACTAAGGAAATATAGCTGACAAGGATGCGTAGACGGATGATTCTCAGTAACCACTATTAAGATATGTTTGTGAAACAGATAATCGCTCAGTTGGCATCTCTGACTCAATAAGTGAGGTGTATATAAACTTCGCAGGTTTCTAGGGTCGTTCAGAAGAGTTGTATTCAAGCTATAACACTTCGTCTAAAATTCGTTCGCTCAAAATCCACCATACTGATCATTCCACTCAAAAACATCGCTTCTGATTTGGCATCTGACAGAGCATTCGTTTCATAACCTTAAGGTCATGGGTCCGGTCACTGATATTTCACTTGGAAACCTTACTTTTGTAATGTAATACACTAACAGACCAATGGGTTTCTCCGATATCAGCAATGGCCACCGAATCACTTTTAGAATGCAATTTCCTCAGATATATCTTCTGTGCATCAGGCTGAGATTTTCACTTATTTTTCGACAGCGGATGACACTACTCAGTCGCCTAGGCTGAATTAGGCAAAAGGCCATTCTAGCCTGGGATCACTCTCCTAAAATTTAGGTTATTAAGTCAATGGCCACACTACTAATATGTTATAGTTTAGTATCCCCACTTAATCTAGCTTATTATATTATTATAAATTAGGGAGTGAAATGTAATAATTGTCAGGTGTTTTCTATATTACTTATCTTACTTAGACGTGTCATCTTGTATTTTACTTCTAAATCCACTGAAGTTCACCTTCAGTACACATGGTACGGCTGTAACGTGTAACACTTGGCTTACCAACACACTGTATACCTAAGTAATCAATAAATTTTCATCAATAAAAAAATGAAGACTACGCAACACTGCCGACTGGTATTCAGCAAACGACTCACACAAATTTTCAGCATATGGTAGGTTACTTGCAAAAAAAAACCCAGCTTATTCATACGGTTTGTAGATACTGAATAGCCATTACGTAGTAACCGATGTTATATACCTGGTTCTTAGTCTTACTGCCAGCCGACTTCCATCAATAGAGTTTTTCAATGTGGCCACTAAGCTGGATGACAGCAGTAGAATTCAGTCAGCTCTTAAGCAATGGACTACACTGATAAAATTGGTCGCTTCTTAGACACTAACTGATGTATCTTTTTCAGCATTAAAATAAACATAAGTCTTGAGGTCGAAAAGCTCAGTGACGACAGTGAAGATGATGGCTAAAGCACTGAGTCAGTGAATTGGGTTCGAATCATTTAGGGGATACCAATTAATTCTAGGTTGCAGACATGTTTACGTAACGAGTATGAATATGGCTTTCCGCTAATTGCCTCCAAACACCTGTCTCTCTCAGTCTATTATATGCTTACTACTTACATATCAAACAACATTAAAACTCTATCATTGTAGTAAGTTGTTTTTTTTGAAATAAAAAGTGTATTGGTTAAATAATTCGTGAAACTGACACTTAATTTTTTTTAAATAAAGATATTCTTAATAATAGAGTACACAAAATATAACATAAACTTATAATGTAAATAATATGCCTAGATATAAGCTGTGTTTATCTATCTGTTATTGACACTTATTCTGTGTACATTTGTGTGCTTAAGCACACTTGTTTTCTAAAAAAAACAAATACCTTTTTAATTTTTGCGAATTAAATGCTGGGAAGATATTACTGAGGCTGCTGTCGATCATAATTTGTCAGTAATTAATGTCTCTTTCAGAACTCATCCGTTAATAGTTTTGTGTGTGTGTACTGAATGATTAACTGACTGACTAACTAAGACACTTCTGACTATTTGACAGAGAAATGTACAACTTTGCGTAGAAATTCATCACTTCCATTCATAATATTACATAAAAGTAAAAAAACCATTTTTAAGTGTCACTATATGGGGTACTGATTTGTTTCAAGTTTGACAACGGATTGAGGTTAGTTAAAGAGTCACTGAAAACTATCAGGAGGTATCGGACAGGTGTTTTTCTCATAGTCAAACTAACTCTTGAGAATTAATCTGATACTCACTAGTGACTGTCTACAGGATGAAGTTTTTTTAGTGAGAAGTCTTGACCGGTGGGTTCCACTAGGTCGGAAGTGAGAACAAATACTTGCTTGGCGTTTACGCTAAAGAAAAATTACAGGTTGTTAGATGTTAGAGTTCATAAGCTAGCTACTGAGTCTATTCCCAGTGGCTGGATGATAAAAGAGCTTGTCTTGAAACCCGAAGATTCTTCGTTCAAACACGTGTTTTGAGGGCGTACTGCCGACGAGTCCCAAACTAGAACGAAACAGTTGTCCAGTACTACTTAGTTCTCTAAATAATATTAACACGTGGTCAAAATTAAGAGGAGATTTGAAATAAATGTAATGCAAGAACATTATAAATAATAAACCGTGCATAGAGGACAGTAGGATCTCTTGTCAAAGTATATCACCTACTCTAAAAAAATATTTGGTTGCTTATTTAAAATTATGAAGAATATCTAGTTTCAGCTGTGCCATAGAGCCACTGTGAGTCAGTTCAACATTACTTTAAATGTATTAATATTATTGGACAAAAGAAGTTTTGTAAAACCCTTTTCTAATAATAATTCGTTTATGTCACTCCCAGACACACGCCAAACTTGTTGTTTCCCATAGGGTCTCCGGTTTAGCGCCTAGGGTTTGATGCCATTCAGCATATGTATAATCTATCCATTTCCATTTTCTTCTAAATACTTGTTACGCGAAAAGTTATTGGTTAGTCCCTTATCTGCCAGAGTTCCTTACCACTTATCATTTCCAGATGTCTGTCTGATCATCATTATCGATTCAGCGTAGACACCTATTGATGAAAGTCTGCAGTAACCTAGTGAAAATGTTTTAGGTGACGTACGTGCTGTCTCTGGAGCATGAGGAAGCCCTGAATGGCTTGACATTAGTGTGGAAAATCGGAATCTTGTTCTTCATGTTAAGTGCAGCAGATTTCCATACCGATTTCAGATTAATGAGATGAATAAAGATCCGTCTTGTTTTTCGTGTTCTGCTTTTGAAATCCACATCTGTGTCTCCTTTACTTGAACCCGTGTTGCATTGGTCTGCTTAGTAAGCGGATTCTTTTGGTTTTCCCAGAAATTGCTGATTTGTACTCGATTTTGTTGACTGGACATCTCCATCACCTTTGTCTGTCTTCACCATATTTATTTGTAGTCCTGTTTTCACTGCCTGATCTGCCAACTTCGCCAAATTTACCCGCTCTTCTGACGTTAGGAAAATAAGGAACGGGAACTTGGCGTGTGGCTAACTCTCACACTCCGGGAACCCACTCCATCACTGCACAATAAAAATATGTGCACATATTCGTAAGCCATCATTCCTAAATGCCGTGTATTGGCTACACGTTTCTCAAGTATCAATGTTTTACTTTCAAAAATGACTGCTCCAAATTCCCTTCCAAAAGTGTTTTCCCCATATATTTGAATTTCTGAAGGTGAAAGTGCAATATGAATGAGTGCGTTCAAAAAGTATAAATACTGTATCACAATTTATCGTGCTCTATGAACCTAGATTAAGGATAATGATGAATCGATCGACTTCATGGATAGACGTAGGAAAACTGGACATTTGTTTTGTCCTGGCCTGGGACTCTTCAGCTCTGTGCATCCGCGAGGGTCAAACCCAGGACTTTCTAGTTACAAGGCGAGCTCGTAGAGCATCAAGCCACTGGGACCCCGGTGGATGTGTAGTGATGAGGAGTCTCGAGCTAGGACGAAACAGCTATCCAGTATTCCGAGGTTTTCCAGTGGTTTTCTAACCACTGTCAGCTCATAATGAAATTCTGTAACTTCTCAGTGCTTATAAGTATTTAGCGATGTACATGTACAGGCTTTAGACCAGGAAGAGGATGTATTGATCATATTTTCACCCTCCGACAGATTCTAGAACATAGTCATTCCTACCGCCGTCCAACAGTCATTATATTCCTTGACCTAAAGGCGGATTCAACTCTGTCGACCGAGAAGTTCTCTGGAGATGCTTGGCTGTAAAGGGAATCCCAAGAAAATATATTACACTGATTAGGGCACTCTACTCGTACTCATACAGCCAGGTGAGGCCTTACGGCGAGTTGTCATCTCAACTGATGACGACTAGCGGTGTCCGTCAAGGATGCCCATTATCCCATTTTCTATTCAACTTCATCATAGATGTACTAATGGAATTAACCCTAACTCACTTCAGCGACTCACGGATTGACTTGCTACCAGGGAATAATCTCGTTAACTTAGAATATGCAGACGATATAGTCCTTCTAGGCGACGACTCTGACAAAATGCAGAGTCTTCTAAACACCTTGAGCCGCAATCTACGAATGTTTGGCATGCGATTCGCTCCCGCCGTGAAATGCAAGATGATGTTACAGGACTGGACTACATCGACGCCTAGTTTAAAAATAGGAAGTGAAGTGGTAGAGCACTGATATGTATCCATATATATATATATATATATATATATATTATATATGGTGGTCTCTTTTTCTGTTTGCTCGCTTAGTCTGTGACCATTTCACTTTGATGAACCTGTCTCCTTTAACAATGTATATTCCCCTTATATTATACATAATATAATATGAGTGTTTGTTGACAGTCCGTAGCTTGGTGACATATATCCATATTATATGTGTGGTTGCTGACATGTCTGCTATATTTTACTATGTATATATGGATCGATACTCCATTATAATTAGCCATTCATGTTAAGACTGTCTATT